CAGTCAGTAGTTTCACTTCTGATGGTATAAGCAAAACAAATAAAACATGTTTATAAAAGTTGTATCTTGAAACACTGGTGTTCAACAGCTAGCAGCTTATGTGGTTTACCCCTGATTGTTAGTGTTAACAGATTTTATGGTTATCTCCAGCAGTGGTTTCTGTAGTACTTGCACTTACCTTTTGTTTAATCCTAAGTGAATTATCCTTTTCTCTTGGAGGCATTTGTATTCAAAGCAGTGATTCCTTCCTTTAGATGCATAGGGAGAGTCACAAGTTTGATGGAGCTGGATAGTTTAGTAATTTATGTACTATGTACTATGTTGGAATTTGTGCTAGCAGTTTGAGCACTAGTTCTGTGTGCCTCTGAACCTATGCTGCTTGTCATATCCCACTTTGACTTTATGGAGAATTAACCCCACATATTAAGCAAAGGCTACTAAGTTAATGGTATATTCTGTGCAGAAATTGAATTTTGTTTTCAGCCTTTAGCTAAGGAATTTTTCCAGTAGGTGCTCAGCTACTTAAAAAAAAAAAACAAAACTATTCTCAAACATTCATCATCAGACAACTGGAGTTTTTGCTGGTTTTGTAAGCTACTAAAATGGATAGGCTGTTGAACATTCCACATCCAGAAGTTTTGTAGGGTGGTGGGGAAGCGGGGGGATCTTCAATGTTTATTTTAAAATAAACTAAGTTCTTGACTTCTCTCGTGTGGTTGTGGTACATCATATTGGAAGGGTTATCTGTTTACTTTTGCAAATGAGTATTTCTTTTGCTAGCACCTCCCCTTGTGTGCTTTAAATGACGTCTGCCTGGGATGTACCACAACCATATGTCAGCTGTGTTTTAGGGGGTAGATAAAATACTCGTGCTTTACTGGGTAATCCCTAGATGATGTATGCTTACAGTCCTTCTATATATAAAACTAAATTTACTATTCTGTGTAGAAAATAATTTCATGACATTTAAAATCAAAATTGAAGTAAATAAGTTCTTTATACAGTGATCTCTATGAATCAGTTCAGAGATGGGATGGGGGAGGGATGCTTTCTAGGTTTCAGACTTCTATGCATTAGAGCACATGTGAATGTGTAAAAGTGTTAGTAGCTTGATTATTTCTCTGTATGTTTTTAAAAGAATAGTTCTTTTTGAAATTATAATTTTTTTTGGCATTCTGCCATCGCAGTCTAAAGGTTTAAGCTTTTATGCCTCAATTCAGACTATATTTTTTAAAGGAGTGCCTCGTTATGGGGCAGAGAACTTTTTAAAACGTCTCATTAAGATCTGAGTCTTGGTACTAAGTGTTTTGTATAATATGTGAATACTTGTCCTACCTGCAGAAGGCCTTTTGTTGGATCAAATGCATATTTTAGTGGAGTTGCAAGGAAATGATTGTCATCTGTGTCACTGTAGCTTCTGGGTATAGCAAGATTCCACATATATAGTACTTCTGTAAATGCACAGTATCAGTCATCTCATGTGGATAATAAGACTTCTATTTTAAAGCTTTAAAATAGAATATCATTGATTACCTTGGTTAGGGCTGTTTTATTTCCAGATTCTAATATCCCTCAAGAATGTGGAAGAGTTTTTCCGATCATTGTATCTTGATATTAAAACAAATATCCTTTAAATATTTTTAATCAGTTATCTTCTACAGTTCTTTTGTCTCCTGTATATGCAATTCTGTTATGTGGGAGACTTTTCCACTTATAGGAGACATGGGAATGTGTGTTTATTCTCAGAAGGCTCATTAACTGAGGTGCTCTCTTGACAACCAATTCATAAAATGTAAAAGGTAGTTGAGTAGTCAGCCTCCTCAAGTGTCTTAGGAAATTTGTATTGTTCATTATATTTTCAATAATATAACTAATTAGGGGGAATGGGATACAGGAAGGACTGAGTTCAAACCCTTCATTTCATCTTTAAGCTCCTGAATCCCCATCCCACTTGAGTTCTTATTAAGCACTCTAAGTTTTATTGACTTAGTTATATTTACAAGAATCCATATTGCCCTTGTACCTGTCCCTTCTAGAGTTAACGGGGAGAGAAAACCCTCAGGAAAAGGAAAGTAAGTTGTTAAGGCACCTCTCGATACCTTTTCCCATTTTGAATTCTACAAAAATAACTGGAAAAGACTACTGAATGTTTTAAATTACATTAGATTAAATCATATTAAAACCTGATACCTTATTGTCCTTGAGTGGAGTTTGCTTTAGTTGTATATGCCATCGAGCAAAGCTCTAAGTAAAGAAGTGCTGCTTGTGAGAGACAAGGAAAAAGCTTAAAGAAATCTCTCAGCAGCCTTGTCTTCTAAGGCTGGACTACTGCATTCTCTCAATCAGGGTTTTAATACCTTACAGCTCCTCTGAAGCCTAACCTAGTCCTATGCAGAGGACTGGCTTTTTGAGTGTAGGTAGTGAAAAACCACCTGATCTCTGGTAAAGGCAATTTTTAGTGTTGTATTCTTATTTGTAAGTACTAGTTTTCATTAAGTTCTGTGATAATGTTAGGGAGCCACTGAAGTAAGGCTTCATTCAGCGAATTTGGGTATCCTTTGCCAGGCATCATGCCAAGCACTAAGCATTCAGTGGTGACAAAATCACTGGTTCCCGCTTTGATTGAACAGTCTACTCAAAGATATGGACATGGTGACACTCAAGTGTAGCAGATGCCATGATGGAGCAACATGGTTGATGACAGATATTAAGGCTGTAACTTACAGGATATGACCTAGTCAAAATGATCAGGAAAGATTTCGTTGAATTAAGACTTGAAGGATGAGGAGTGGTTAACTAGGCAAAGAAGGGGAGGGAAGAACATGTCCAATGGTCCAATCTCCAGTGACTATCTGGCTCAAGTGGAAAGAGTACAGATTCAGTGGAGTTAGAGGCTGAAGAAACAGGTAAGGGCTACTATGGATGCTTTATAGTTATATTTCATGTTAAGTTTTGTCTCTTAAGAACAGTTGGAAACGCTTGAAGATTTTTAAGCTGTGTTTGTGGGGGGTGGGAGTAGGGAGGGAAGAATGGTGGGTCACCTAATAAAATTGCCATTTAAAGAACACTCAGTGCAGTGTTGAGAACAAAATATATGGGGCAAGAGATGGCTATTGGAATACCCATGTAAGAAATGATGACAACATGAACTAAAGTGGACGGTGGTGGTGAATGGATTCTACATATTTCCTGTCTCACTGGCGACTGTTAAGTACCCTTTGCAGAGTTCTCCAGGCCTGTCAAACTTCATCTCTAGCTAGTTGTCTTCCCCAGTGATCTCATCCAATCTCATGACTGACTATTATCAGCATTTTAGTTACTCCTAAATATTTCTAGGTCCCAAACTCCCCGAAACAAACTCGTACTCAGTATCTTGATTTGAATGTCGTATTCCAGACTGACCTCTTGATTAGCTTCCATTCATCCTGTTTCTCAGGGCAAATACCTTGGATATCATCTTTGATAATCCTTTCATACTGTGTCTAGTCCTTAAGCAAATCCACATGGTTCTACCTTGAAAATATATCCTGAGTCATCTAGCACTTGTGACCACCACCTCTACCAGCTTAGAACAGGGAACTACAGTAGCTTATAATGGTTCTTCCTGCTTCTACTCTTGCTTTCCTATAGTATAAATTTTTCACAGTAGCCAGAATGAGCATTTTAAGAGGAGAGGACAAATCAGATTTTGTCACTTCACTGTTCCCCAAACTCCAGTGGCTTCCCATCACACCCAGAATTAAATTCTAAATCTATGGCCCACATGGCCCTTCATTATCTGGCCTAATTTCCTGCCGTTTTCTTTCTTGCCCGCTGTACTCTGGCCACACTGGCTGCTTCATGGGAAGGCCTTTCACTCAAATATTCTTAAGACTCATTCTAAATTCAGGTGTTTGCTCCAGTGTCACCACCTTAGAGGCCTTCCATGTCCGCCTTTGAAGTAGTACCCTTTGTCACTTTTTACTCACTGGATACTTTTTTCTTAGCCCTTAAAACTTACCTCGAGTTATGTAAGCTTCACGAGAGACGGGAACGCTTTGGTCACTTCATCCCTTTTGTCTGGCATATTGACATTTTTTTGAGTGAATTATAAAAATTTTATAATGGATGTTGGACTAGATGGGTGGTGGTGGTGGTTACATTAGATTTGCAGGTGTCTTGATTTGGGGGAGGAGTTTCAGGGAGGGAGGGAAATGTTTCCACATGAGTTCGGCTTCGGACGTTCTGAATTTGAGGTGTCTGAGAAGAAATGTCAAGCAAGCAGTTGGGTTTGTTTACTTGAAGTTCAGCGGTCCGACCCAAAGACAAAGCTGTAAGAGTATGTATAGGGGGCTCTTGTAGTCGTGCTTGGGCGAGTTCGCCCGGGAGCTGGGGGTGCGGGTGGGGGGTGAGAGGAGGGGAAGTAATTGAGTAAGAGCAGAGCCCCAGAGCTGGTTTTGAGAAGAGCGCCAGCTTCTTCCTAGCGGGACTTCCAATTACTACGGCCGCAGTAGTCTACGAGGTCATTACTGCGGGTATGGAGGGGCGAGAGATGAATGAAATAGGTTGGCTGATCGAGTTTCCTCATCCGGTCACATTAAAATGGGAAGTTAATTAGACAAGATCTGTGAAACTACGCACAGATCCGGGCCCGCTGACCGCATGCTGCCCGGGCCTCTGGGCACCCGAGCTAGCCCCAGCACAGTGGCAGGCGCTGGGGTTGCGGTCATCGGGATGCTTATTTTGCCGTTTGGAGCCTGGGTATCGTAATGGTGACGTGAAGAGAGGCAGACTGCAGCCAGCACCACAGCGGCTGCGGGCCGTCCAGGCTGCAGCTCCGCCTCCCGCGCCTCTGACGTCATCACGCAGAGACAGGGTGAGAAAGGGCCCCTCGCGCGCCGTCTCCGCGCCGTTAGGGCGCTCGCGCGCGCATCGCCTGCTGGAGTGAGCGGACGCTGAGGCGCGCGGTCAGGCGTCGGCTGGGGCAGCCCGCTGCGCCCGGCGGTCTTCCGGAGTAGTTGGGCGCCCCCACGTGCCGCCGCCTCGCCGCTGGCTGGAACGCGCCGCGCGGGGCGCAAGTACCGTACACCGCGGGGTAGCTGGGGCTGCGTGCCGAGGTCGGGGGCCGTGTCTTTCTCGGGCCGGGGGTGACGGGCTCGGGAACGAAGGCTCTGCATCCGGGCCGGTGCCAGGCCCGTGCCGGCTGCCGCCCCACGCGGACGCTCCTAGATGACAGGATCCTCTTCCCCAGTGGGCGGCCCCTCTCGGGCATGCTTCTCGAGCGCTCTCGGGGGTAGCGGGGCTCCTCTCCGTCCTGTAGGGCCCTCTAGCTGGGGGTCGGGGTGAGCGGGTGGCTCACAGGTCTTCTGCTGTCTGGGGAGCTCGCCCGCAGTTCCTGGATGAGCGCCGGGCGTGGAACCGAGGCGGTCTGATTCCAGATCCAGCCTCGCTGCTAACTACTGTACTGTGCTCCTTTGCTTGTATTCTTCTCTTTCTGTGTGAGGAAGATCTGCCCTGAGCTAACATCTGATGCCAATCCTCCTCTGCTTTCTATGGGACCCTGCCACAGCATGGCTTGACAAGCAGCGCGTTGGGGGCGCACCCGGGATCCGAACCTGCGAACCTGGGCCGCTGAAGCGGAGCGCGCGCACTTAACCGCTGTGGCACCAGGCATCGGCAGTCACATTCAGGACTTTATTTTGTTTGCCAGTGCACCTAGAATGGTGCCTGGCACTTAGATGTTTTGTGTTGGTTAGACGAATAGATGAGTGAGTGAAAAATAATCATCTTTCTCCTCCTTTCAGGCCCTCCTCATCCATTAAGGTTCCATGACAACTCCGACCCACAGCAATCTCAGACCTTCATCAGACCACTGGCTATAGCTATTACTTTTACATCTAATTTTGTCTGTCTTTAGACAGATTGTCCCTAATCTCTTTCTCCTAAATGTCTTCTCCAAGGAGAGTGAAAACTTTTTGAAGTCAAGGCTTTATCTGGTGCTACTTCTGAGGCTCCCACAGTAACTAGAGCAAAAACCAGTCCCCAACGATGAGTTATTGATTGAGTGTTGTGGGGTCTTGATGTGGCCGGCAGCACGGCTGACAGGCCGGGCAGCCGGGAGAGCTCAGGCTCTGGAGTCAGGCGTACTTGAGTGTGAATCCTGTCTCCGTTACTTTTTTTCCTCGGGATGCTGGCTCCTTTCCTTATAAAATAGAAACTGTTGATTGCGACATAGTGTTTTACAGTCACATAGCACTGCTAATGTCCATGTTGGGATTGGGAGATTAGAAGGACAGTTAAGGTTAGAGTTCAATTAATGATCTTTATGTTTAGAATGCAGCAAGCATGGGAGTTTTTAAGTAACAGGTCAATTTTATGTTTAGATTATAATATAATCGACACATCTGATGTTTATTTATTATAGTAATGATGCAATATTTTGTCATATGTAACCACAGTAACTTCTGAGGTCCATCTGTACAGGCTTCGGTATGGTTTTCCCTCCTTTGAGGAAACAAGTTGGACATATTTAATTCTAGTAATATTCATTGATTTCTTTTCCTTGATTTTATTAGTAATGCATGTAAATTTAAAAAAAACAAAACTCGAAGAAAATGAAAGAACAAAATAAGAATCACCTGCAATCTCACCATCCAGAAATAACTACTTTACACTTTGGTGTTTTCTTCCAGCCTTTACTTTTCTCTATGTGTTATGTATATGCATAAAAAAATGGTGTCATACTTTATCCTGCCATGTTATCCTCTCATAAGCATCTATATCCTTAGATAATTTTTGAAAATGATTTTGAAAAAGTTTTTTTTGGAAACTGCCTTATTATCCCATAGATATACTATTATATGTTTTAATTATTCTGTTTTTTTGAACATTGTTTCCAGTTTTTAAACACTCCTCAATTGAGGTGTGAATTATAGCTTCCCTGTTGACTTCTTCTGTGGAGGGAACATTTTCCTCACCTCCCAAGCCTCAGTTTCCTAGTTTTAAAAATGAGGCTGATGTCTTCCCTAGGGAGCTGTTTGATGGTTAAGTAGGATGATGCTTAGAAATGTGCACAGCATAGCCGCTAGCCCTGCAGGAGGCAGCCAGCTGATGTTTCTCACCCCTAGTCTGGCGTTCATGCCCGCTTGTGTTGCCTTTCTTTCCGTTTTAGTGATAGTCTTTCACCATGCATCGGAAGAAAGTGGATAACCGGATCCGGATTCTCATTGAGAATGGGGTAGCTGAGCGGCAGAGGTCTCTCTTCGTTGTAGTTGGAGATCGAGGAAAGGATCAGGTAAGACCTGGTAAACGCTTCCTCACTTACCTTTGTGTCTTGTCCCAAAGAGTCCGCATGTTACAGGCCCTCTGGGGTTTCCGCATGCAATGACATTAAGGTCCCTTTGACTGGTTTTCTTTAAGTAAAATGCCTAGTGGGAACCTTCCTTTGTTTCTCAGAAATGACAAATATCTATGTTTAGAATTATTAGCAGACAGGTTAACAGCTTTTGATGCCTGGGGTGGTGGACTGAGCACAAGGTTAAAGTGTATGTGATCTGGCTTCTAGTCCCAGCCTGGGCACTACTTGCCTTGTGACCTTGGGCACTTCTCTTCTCTGGCCCTCAGTTTACTTTCCACATCTGTCAAATGAGGTCTTGGGCCTGGCAGTCTCCAAGGTGTCTTTGGCCCTGAAATTCTGTGACTTTTTCTTTGGCAGGTGGTCATCCTCCATCACATGTTGTCCAAAGCAACTGTGAAGGCTCGGCCTTCAGTGCTGTGGTGTTATAAGAAAGAGCTGGGGTTCAGCAGGTAAGCTTGGCCCTCAAGTGTCCCATATCACATACAGTTCCTGCCCGTGGCTTAAATGCCAGGAACCGATTCCTTGACGTAGTTTTCCAGGGATTGCTAGTGCAGGTCTGTCTCTGAGGACACTCCCAACAGAGAAACTAATGGAGCCGATGTCCTCTCTTTATTCCTGACAATGAGTTTCAGTCCTTTCATGCTAAGTCTCCAGCCCATTTCCTTGCTTTTTGCTGTGATTTTTCTTCCCACTCTTCCAAGCTGATCACACTCATCTAATGCGAGTTCTTCACTTGCCTTTCCGTGCGTCAGAGTTACTCCACATCTTCACTCTCCCTTTTTCCTTCACTTTTGTTTCTGAACCTCATCCCGTGTTCAGAGCAAACCCCTTTGTCCACTCTGGCTCTCTTCTCTCACTTCTTTAGGATCTTTACCTTCTTGTCTGTGCGGACACTCCATACCCCTCTGACACTGTCTCCTTTTCCCTGCAAACATGTTCAGCTTTCTCCATTCTCAAAAAAATGATTAGCTACATACCCAGCTTTCTCCCTCGGGCTAGCATTCTCTCTCATTTTTATTGCCAGACACCGTGAAACAGAAGCCTTTTGCATTTTCCAGTTGCCCTCTTTGCCGTCTGGCTTCTGTCTACCGTTGTGACCCAACTGTGCTCTTGGAAGTCGTCGACAACCTGATGCCCAACGCAGCAGCTTTTCTCCCCCCTCTGCTCCTTTTCAGAGCTCTTCCTCCACCAGCTCACTGCTGTATTTGACAGTGGCTACTCTTATTTCCTTGAAGCTGTGAAACTTAAGACTTCTAGTCATAAGTAGCAGACCTCCAGCATAAAAGCACTTAGACACAAAGGGAATTTATTGAGCTATACGGGATAGCTCATGAAACCTAAGGGGATGAGGTTTCAGCTCTGCCTCAGGGGGGATGGAGAGCCAGAGCGCTGAGGCTTCCAGTCGTTGCTCAGTCTCCCATCTCTGTGTGTCTGCTCTGTTCTTTCCCACTTCACATCAGTCTCCATGGCAGAAACAGCACTTCAGTTTTACGTGTTTCAGGTCCAACCACGTGGATATCAGTCTTGCAAATACTTGTGGAAAGACACCCACCCTGGGGCCAGGGAAGGCGGGGTTGGAAACCTGGCAGTTCTGCCTACAGCTCTGTGTAATGAGGGGTTCTGGGTGTGGAGTGCTGTTCCTTGGCAGATAACCCACTATGTGACCCCCTCAGAATGCTCTCCTTTCTTGGCCTTTCTGGCTCTTACTCAGACCGCCTTCCTGAGCTCTCTGCTTTCCCTTCATCTTATCTCCTGCCCTAAGCCCAGCTGGTGTGTGTGACTCTGTCCTCGGGCCTCTTCTCCCTCCCTCATTCCCCGTTGTGCTTGTCTTTGGTGGTGACTCTGGAATCGTGTCTCCATCTCCAGCTGCTCTGCGTGGTGGTGAGGCTCCCTGCCTTGCTCCTGCCCCTCTTCTGCTCAGGATGCCATTCCACCTCTGCGTCATCACTGTGAAGTGCTCCTCGCTTGTCAGGGCCCGCCTCCTTGGTGAGGCGTTTCCTGAGCCCCTCAGCCATACCTCCTGGCTCCTCCGCCTCTGCAGCATGTGCCTCCTGCTACAGTGCTTGTGCCCTGCCCTCTGTCTCCCTCCGGGTGTAGTCACTCACATGCTGGTCTTTTCTACTTCCCGGTGGTAAGGTCATTTTGTTAGGAGGCCTCTCCTGTTTACCTTTGTGTTTTCCTGTTTTCACTTGATCGGGCATGTTCGTAGGAGGTGCTTAATTCATATTTGTTGATTGAATGTATTGTTAACAGGATCTAAAATTTTTTTAGTTTTACTTAGTACCAAAGGCTAAATTTGATTAGTTCCTATACTTTTGTCTTAAGGAGACTTGATTCTGCCTAAAAGATGCTACATTTTGAGTAAATAGTTTTGCCTTTTAAAAAAAATTATAAAAGCAATATTATTGTAAGAAATATGAAAAATACCGATAAAGTCACAAAGGGAAATAAAAGGCAACCATAATCTCAGCATCTAAGTGTTGTTAGCATTTAGCTGTCTATCACTGGTATGTAGTTTTAAACCATAATTGGTATTTTGGTGTGTATATTATGTCCTATCCAGAGACTTTCATAATTGGGCAGGTAAGCATTTTTAATATGGATTGAGAATAAGGCCTCTTGCCTATCAGCAGAACTGTAAGTTTCTGGGGCTTGTGATTCTCAGTGCTGTTCAGTGAATGTCAGATGGATGTGGAATTAAGCAGTTCACGGTGTTCTGGGCAGATTAGCTTTTCAAACTTAACCCACCTGATTTCACTTTTAAAAACCTCCTCTGTGCCTCTTGCAGCTCTCCCACCCTTCTTGATGTGGCAGAGCATCAGGTTAAAGCTGATGCTCTCTTCTGAACCATGGGTTAAGGCAGAGCCAGAAGGACAGTGGAAATCAACTTGCCCACCTGGCTTGTTTTACAGATGAGGGAGTGGAGGCCCAGGGGAAGGCCTGGGTTCTAGCTATTCAGTTAGAGAACTCTGGTAGAATTTTGATCTGCTGTAATCCCCAGTTCTGGAGCTTTCTTATTCTCTCTTTTCTGTAAAAGAAAGACTTAAATGACAGTTGGATATTCAGGGTTTTTAAGATGAAAGAAAAGTTCGGGGATTTCTGAGAGACGTCCAGATTCCTTTCCAACCCGTATGTCCTCCATCGGTATTATCTCAGATTGGAGCTGCCCTGGAGGACTTGATCCCACAGTCTGGGAAGAAAGTGGATGAATTCATTTAGGAAAAATGAGTAAAGTCCCCTGCTGTCACCATGGCTTTCCCAGGTCCCCAGACAGCATGTAGTTGAAGCACTGGCTGGAGAGTAAGGTGATGAGCCACCTGGGTTCAGTTTCGAGCTCTGTTCTGGCCAGATGTGAGGTTTGGGAACTCTCATTACCCTTCTTTTGAAGTGAAGTATCTGCTGAAGGTGACAGAGCAAAATAGCAGAGTTCGTACACAGGCTTACTGCTGTCTCCCTCCGAAGCCCATCTTCTTAACCAGTCTGCTTCTCCATTTCTTCCCCTGTGAAGTGAGGGGGTTGGCCCTGCAGTGTCCAGGTTCCCTTCTAGCTCTAAAGGTCTAAGTGGGGGATTGTCGAGCCTGTTCCCTGCTCCGCTGTTTCACTGCGCTGGTTAACTGGCTCTCATGGGATGGGGGTGATTGCAGTCACCGGAAGAAAAGAATGCGGCAGCTGCAGAAAAAAATAAAGAATGGGACACTGAACTTAAAGCAAGATGACCCCTTTGAGCTCTTCGTAGCAGCCACAAACATTCGCTACTGCTACTACAACGAGACCCACAAGATTCTGGGCAATACCTTCGGCATGTGCGTCCTCCAGGTGGGTGGCTTCCTCCAGCCTGTGGCTGGGGTCGAGCACTGAGAGTGCTTTGGCTGCTCGGTGCCCCACGGCAGCAGGTGTACAGTAAGGAGAGAAGGTTCTTCTGTACTGCCCTCCCCCAAGCATTACCAGTGGGAGACTTAGCCACTTTCCAAAGGAAACTTGATAACTCACCCCACATAAAAAGAAAACTTTCTACTTAAGGCAGCACTTGTCTAGAGATAACAAAATTGGCTGTGATGCTCTGTCACAACTGGTTCTAACAGCTAAAGCTGATAAAGAAAGCACTGTGAACCTCGGGTGACCCTAGGCCCCCAGATCCTTATTGGAACTGACTGAAGCTTGGTGACCAGTGAGCAGTGGGACTTGTTTTAGCCAAGTGGGTACAGACCTCTGCACTCATATGTCCTATCCAGAGACTTGATGAGCACAACCCCCACCAACACCCTCGACCCCCCTTCCAGTCCTTAAAATCCCCTCACTTTCCCCCCTCAGAGAACCACCTGGTAAATTTATTCACTGGTATGTATGCTCTTGGCAGGCAGATTAATAGACTAAGTTTTGCATTTTCCTTTGTTTTGAGCTCGGGTAGTCTTTGTTTTATTCTTTGATTCTTTGACACCTGTAAACCCCCCTCCTCCAAAAAAAGGAAGACAAATTTAAGCACTAATCTCCACATTTTCGTATTTATTATACACGTGCTACTATGATTACATACATAAAAACATACCTTACAAAATATAAATTAAGAAATGGGGGGGGAAATCATGAATAGAAGTTCTCATTTTTCTGTCTGCATTCCAGTGGGTTGTCCCATACACTGCTGGGTCGCATCCCACCTTGGAGGCCAGAAAGGAGCATTTTGCCTCATTCTCCCCTGATCACTGATGGGTAGGGAGTGTCTTATGCTCGCCACGGTCACCAGGTGCAGTGATGATGGCTCCTGGAAGCAGTGGCTGTCCCACTGCTTGAGTTTGCCAAACAGTGTCAATCTGTAAACATATCAGGAAATGAATGTGGGATGTTTCTGAAATTCACATGTGAATCCATGAAGACTTCCTTCCAGTAGGATTTTATCAGAGATAAGTAGAGACACTTTTGATATATAGAATCAGGGACCCTTGCTCTCCAGGGCTGGGCTGTCTCTGAGTGCCCCTCAGTGAGGGACTCTGACTGTGTGTGTCCTGGTGAGTCGGGTGGGGGATGGGCTTGGTTTGTGCTCTGAAGCCCTCTTTTTATCTTCTCACCTGGCCCTTGGTTAAGCTTCCCTGGGGGTGCTCTTTGCATGACCAGCCCTTTGCAAGGTCTCCTTCTTCCAGGATTTTGAAGCCTTAACTCCAAACTTGCTGGCCAGGACTGTGGAGACAGTGGAAGGCGGTGGGCTGGTGGTCATCCTCCTGCGGACCATGAATTCACTTAAGCAGCTGTACACGATGACCATGGTTAAGTGTCTGTTTTTTAACTTAATTGCGGGGGTTCAAATTAATCTATGTTTTTGCTGTAGCCACTTTCTTTTAAGAACGCTTGTTGAGCAGCTCCCATGAGCGGTCGGCACGTTCTCTGGGCTGGGAGCTCTTTGCACCTAAGGAAACGTCCCAGCAGAGAATCCCAGTGGCCCTGAGTGTGCCCTGGAATCTCTGAATTTCTCGTTGGCTCTCAGCATTTGCACATTCTACACCAGTGAGAGTCAGCAGCTATTATATAGGTAGATTTCTGGAATGGTATTCTGCAAAGAGCCATGCCAGTGCCTAAATCTGTGTATTGCAAAAAAGGGACCACAGGGGCCTGCCCGGTGGCGCAGCGGTTAAGTGCGCGCGCTCCGCTGCGGCGGCCTGGGGTTCGCGGGTTCGGATCCCAGGCACGCACCGACGCACCGCTTGTCAAGCCATGCTGTGGCGGCGTCCCGTATAAAGTAGAGGAAGATGGGCACGGATGTTAGCTCAGGGCAGATCTTCCTCACAAAAAAAAAAAAAAGGCACCATGCACAGACTTCCCCACTGGCCCTCGTCTTAATGGATAATGCAGGAACATTTGTCAGTGCCACTCCTAGTTTGGCAAGAACTTCGAGTCTGGGAGGGGCGGTATTCTCCCAAAGCTGAGGGCATGGTGGAGGCGGCGTGGGGCTGCTCAGTGGATGCAGTGCTGTCTCCCACCAGCAGTACTGCCATGTGGCTGTGATGAGTCCTGCCCGAGGCCCAGCCACGCGGGCAGGATGTTAGGATTTGCTGCGGGGTTTCACAAACTGCGTTTCTGTGATGAAGTGGACTTCTCCCAATCTTAGTAGCTGTGTCCTGTCACTGCCACTCCTCCTGTCATTGCCACCACAGCTCCTCTGGCTTCCTCACAAGTCCTCAGACACACCCAGCACACTCTCTCATCAGGGCCTTTGCACTTGCTGTTCCCACTGGCCTGTCTGCATGGTTTGCCTCCACTGCGGTCACATCCCTGCTCAATATCACCTCCTCAGTGTGGTCTCTCTTCACGTCCTGTGTAGGATACGTCACTCCACCTGTCACTCCTTAACCTGCTTTATTTTTCTTCATAGCATTTGACAACTGCCTAAAGCTCTGTTTGTTTCTTGTCTGTCTTCCTGTACTAGTCTCTGAACTTGCTGAGAGCAGGGGCTAGTTCTCGCTGGTGTACTTCCAGGTGCTGGAAGAGTGCCTGCGTTTAGTCAGACTCGTTCAGTATTGTGAATGAACGAGTGACTGTGCCCACGTCAGTCTGTCTGCTCCGCCTCCCCTCCCACACTGCCTGCTCCCCACCACAGAGGGCCCCCTCACTACCCTGCATAAGGAGTTCCCCTCCACCATTTGCTGTCACTGCTCCTTGTTTTCATTTGTAGCATTTGTCAAAATTTGTACTTTTTTACTCATTTGTTTCCCTCCAGCCATTAGACTATGAGCTCCATAAGAACAGAGGTCATGCTTTATTAAACGCCAGTGTATATGCAGTATGTCTGGCACACAGTTGGCGTGTACGTTTTATGGAATGAATGAATACATTTTATAACACTGGATAAAATGTGGAGAAAGCCAAAGCTGAGGTGAGGGAGGTCTGTTGTAATACGAAACGTTGCATCTCGAGTCTGATCCCAGTCCCAGCAGATAGCGTTTGGCCGGGTCAGCGTGGCGGGTGATGTGGGAGTGGACTTGTCTCCAGCAGCGTCACTGGCGCCTCCTTTGACCCAGGGTCGCTTGAAGAACTCCTTCGCATTTGGACACTGAGCCTCAGCACTACTGGGATGCCTTTGTTAAAGGGCGTTGTCTTTCTTAGGACGTGCATTCAAGATACAGGACGGAGGCCCATCAGGATGTGGTGGGAAGATTTAATGAGAGGTGGGTCTCTAGCATGTTTCTCATCCCTTAATTGTGGGGAGCCGCAGTGGGAGGAATGTTTTTCCTCGGACCCAACGGGAAGCTGTGCTTTTGTCTGAGGGAAGGCAGCACAGGAGTCCAGAATGGTGAGATTCCTGACAGCAGCGGTGGTTGTGAAGCGGACAGGAGGCGGTGAAGGAGAGTGGAGAGCTGGGCTGGGAGACCTAGGTTCTGCCTGCCTTCCGGCCTTAACCAAGTCACTCTCCCTCTCTACATTAGCGCACTCATCTGTCAAAGGGGTGATTTGTCTGGGTTGCCGTTTCCTAAATGTGTTTCACAGAACGCTAGTGTTTTAAGAGGGGCTTTATGACAAGGGTTTTCTGGCCGAATATGTCCAGGAAATGCTGATCCAGTTTTTCCTTTATGAAGAGTCACGGTAGCCTGTCGTGGCCTCTAAAAAGTCTTGCAGCAGCAGGCATCTGCTTAACTGATTGTTTCCCAAGTTTATTTGACCCCAGAGCCCTTTTTTAGGGAACACAAGTTAGCAACCTGTGAAACACCTTAAGAAGCTGTGGCCTAGATCGGTGGTTCTCTATTGGAGCAGTTCTGCCCCTGGGGACACTTGGCAATGTCTGGAGACATTTTGATTGTCATGACTTATGTGGCAGTTCTACTGGCATCTAGTGGGCAGAGGCCAGAGATGCTGCTAAACAGCCTAAAATGCACAGAACAGCCCCCACAACAAAGAATTATCTGGTCCAAAATGTCGGTACTGCTGACGCTTAGAAATCCCGGCCTCCCTGACCCCTAGGGTCTTTCTGATTTTCACTGTCTCTGACGCTTTAACTCAGTAGAAGGAGTAGGCCAAGAGGTGGCCGTGCACTACCAGATAGAACAGAAGCCTGTGAAAGTAGCGCACGATGCTGTGTTCTTGGAGTTGTGGGAGAAGTTTGAATTTTATAGCCAGACATGTTTTTCTACACACAGGAATATTTGTGTTATATTTGTTTTTGTTTTTTTTGTGTGTGAGGAGGATCAGCCCTGAGCTAACATCCATGCCAATCCTCCTCTTTTTGCTGAGGAAGACCGGCGCTGAGCTAACATCTATTGCCAATCCTCCTCCCTTTTTTTTTCCTTTTTTCTCCCCAAAGCCCCAGTAGATAGTTGTATGTCATAGCTGCACATCCTTCTAGTTGCTGTATGTGGGACGCGGCCTCAGCATGGCCGGAGAAGCGGTGCATCAGTGCACGCCTGGGATCCGAGCCCGGGCCGCCAGTAGCGGAGCGCGCGCCCTTAACTGCCAAGCCACGGGGCCGGCCCTGTGTTATATTTCTTAAGGGAGCTTTCATCTCCTCTTCTCCCTTTTATTTTTCTTCCTTGTGGCAGAAGGTAAATCCATTGTGTGTGTGTTGTTTCCCCGTGTGACTGGTGATTCCATGTGGGGTGGGTTTGGAGTTTCCTCATTTAAGGATGGCCTGAGACACCACAGTGCTCAAGAGTGAGCCTAAGAGGGTGTGAGAAGGGCCAGGGACTCGGGGGACAGTGGCAGTTGTGCACAGTAGGAATGCTTGTGATCAGTCTCGAGAGAGTTCCCGGTTTTCTTGCATGCTGTATAAAGCTCGTTCAGGTGCCCTATAGAGGAGGCTCAGAATCATCACGCACTGCTTTCCAGCTGGGTGTTGGCTTTCTCAGAGACCTGTGGGGCCAGTGATTTTCCTGAAGTAAGAGCCTTTGTTGTGTAGACATTGGCCCCCTTTCCCTGACACCTCATGACTGTGGTTTTGTTCCTCAGATTTATTCTCTCTCTGGCTTCTTGTAAGAAATGTCTTGTCATCGATGACCAGCTCAGCATCCTGCCCATCTCCTCCCATGCTGCCAGCATTGAGGCCCTCCCTCCCCAGACCCTGGTGAGTCTCCAGGGGTCCAGGAATGTGGGGGAGGGACGCCGCGTTTTCTGTGTTGGCCCTCCTGCAGCAGTGGGAAACCTCCTCCTCCTCTCCTCTCTGGTAGGATGAGAGTCTTGGTCCTTCTGATCTGGAGCTGAAGGAGTTGAAGGAGAGCTTGCAGGATACCCAGCCTGTGGGCGTGTTAGTGGACTGCTGCAAGACCCTAGACCAGGTGAGTGGCCTTCAGAACCACCCCGCCCCACACGAACAACGCAGAGGTAGAGTGTAGTGTGCAGAAAGCAACAGGAGCGAAGTCAGGACCAGGCAAGCCGTGGCACCTCCCCGGGAAAGAGGCCTTTTCTCTTGCTCGGACTCGTGCATGCAGTGACAGCAGGGCTGTTCTCTTTTGTCTGGGTTCACAGCATAAGTCTAGCGATTAACCTCCTCCTCCACCCCAAGGTAGCAGTTCAGGGAACTGGGAGTCGGGAGATGGGTTAAATTTTTGTTTTTTTTTTTAATTTTATTTATTTATTTTCCCCCCAAAGCCCCAGCAGATAGCTGTATGTCATAGCTGCACATCTCTCCATCTGCTGTATGTGGGACACGGCCCCAGCACGGCCAGACAAGCAGTGCGTCGGTGCGCGCCCGGGATCCGAACCCGGGCCGCCAGCAGCGGAGCGCACGTACCCAACCCCTAAGCCACTGGGCCGGCCCGAGATGGGTTAAATTTAAAGAGGACCCCCCTAGGCACTTTTTCCATGACAGGGTGGTATACCTGTGTCCTTTCATTTAGTTAAGTTTTGATGACATAAAGGTTTTTGCCTGTGCCTTGTACAGAAGTGAGAGGCGAGCCTGAGGCCCCCTTTTCTTACCCCGGTTCCACGGTGAGGCCTGAGGAGGGTCCTCTGGGGTGGTTAAGTACAGACAGCAGGCTGGCGGGAGCTGCCAAGAGGCATTTCTGTGCTCACGGAGGTGGCCAGGGCTAGTAAACTCAGCTTCTGCAGTGGCTCGTGGGCTGTGATGGAAGCTGAATGGGCACAGCCCAGAGGCCTTCAAGCTGTCAGGTGTGTTCAGGGTTCTGGTCCCGCCTCAGCCAGAGACGAGCAGCACAGGCCTCCTGACAGCTCTGCCTTCAGGATGGAAGACAGCTGCAGTGACACCGTCCACTCAGGGCTGAGTCCCAATAGGCAGGTTTCCCTTTGCATTCTGGAAACAGAATCAGCAGCTACATAGCTTTCTATGCCCCCTAGGCTGCAGGCTCTAGGCTGCTTTGAACCATATCCTGGTACCCTCTTTATCACCAAAGAGAGGGAGTGAGAGAGAGGAAAGGGCAGAAGAGGGAGAAACTACAATACCAGTAGTAGTGTGACAAGAAAATAAATGGCCCATGGCAAAAAAAATCAGTAAGTATGAAAGAACGTACATTAAAAATAGAAAGTGGTGTTTCTACTTGGCAGCCCCAATCTGCAGAGACAGCTACTATTAGTAGTTTATTATGTATTTTTCTGGATCTTCTATACAAATAAATGGATATTTTTTAAATATGCAAAGGGTTCATGATGTACAGAGTATAAGTTGTCCCCTGTTAGATATTTGGGTCGATTCCAGCCTTTTTGCTGTTAAAAACAACGCTGTTAGGACATTCTTACAGCTACATGTGTGGGCACTGTCTCTAGGATGAGTTTCCAGGAGGAGAATTGCTGGGTTAGAGTGTGTGTGCATGACAACGGGTGTTGCACAGTTTGTGGAACCACCAACAGTGTAGGAAAGTACCTTTTTCTCTGCAGCCTTGCCAGCACTGGGTACTGTTAAACTTGTCTTTACCAATCTGATATGGGACATAGGATCATTGTAACTCGTGTTGCTTTAATTGCAAGAGAAGCGGGCACCTTTTTCATATAATTACTGATCATCTATTTTTTTGGTTTTTGTTTGTTTTTGTAAACCAGTCTGCTTTTTTATATTGGTTTTTCATTTTAGAATATTATTTTAAAATGCATTTTTAGTCCAGATTTTGTACCTTCTCTCATGTCAGTAGATTTTTCACTTATGTTTCATCAGACTTTATAAGGTCTCCACTCTAAAGGAAACAACAGGGCCGGCCCCGTGGCTTAGCGGTTAAGTGCGTGCGCTCCGCTGCTGGCGGCCGGGGTTCGGATCCCGGGCGCGCACTGACGCACCACTTCTCTGGCCATGCTGAGGCCGCGTCCCACATACAGCAACTAGAAGGATGTGCAGCTATGACATGCAACTATCTACTGGGGCTTTGGGGGGAAAAAATAAATAAATAAAATCTTTAAAGGAAACAACAGAATGGTCAACTACAGCGTTCAGCAAAGGCCCAGCTAAGACAAGCAGGACCTGGGTCCCCTTTGAGTATTTCCATCTGGAGAGACTCTGGCTTCCTGAAGCCCCTCCCCTTTCTTCCCTTCCATATGCCTGGGCCTGTGTCTTCTCAGTGTGTCTGCCCGGGGCACGTAAGGCAACTTCTTCAGCACCATCTGGTCTTCTTCCCAGTCTCACTGGCTTCTTCCCAGGCAGATCCCAGTCGAGGAGCAGAGTCTGGCCCCCGAGTCGTGGTGTGGTTCCTCCTCCCATGCAGTGCAACAGCATCTTGCTTTCCCTTCGGGGTGCCAGGCCTCCTCTATGCCCTGGGCTCAGCAGTGAACAAGAGGGACACCTGCTTCCTGGAGCTTACGTTCTGGTGGGATGGGACAGACAGTGAATCAAGCAAATCGTGAAGTGTGCTACAAGGTGCTGTGTGTGATGGAGAAACCTGAAGAGCCACAAAGAGGCATAGGGAGTGACAGGAGGAGCGGAGGATGCTGTGGGTCCAGATGGGGAGGTCAGGGAAGGCCTCATTTAGAAGGTGATATGTGAGCAAAGACTTGAAAGAGTTGAGAAGGGGAGCACTGTGGCTGTCTGCGGGGAGAGTGCTTCTGGCAGGGGGGTCAGCAAGTACATAGGCCTGAGGTAGTCTACCTCTTGTGCTTGGGACTAACGAGGCTGAGGGCTGAAGCAGAGCGAGAGGAGGAGAGCAGGAGGAAATGACTGAGGTCAGATGGTACAGCCCCGTAGCCTGCTGGAAGGGCTTGGCACTTCCTCTGCAAGAGATGGGGCCAGGGCGGGGTTCTGTTCTTACTCTTAGCACAGCTGCAGAGCCATCCTCAGGCTTAATTTTAAAAGCATCCTTCTGGCTGCTGTGTTGAGTCTAGACTGTAGGGGAAGAAGGGGGAAGCAGAAAGACTAATTAGGAGGCTGCTGTAATAATGAAGGCAGGACAGGGTGATGGCTTCGACCAGAGCAGTAGAGGAGGAGAACAGTGAGGAATGGCAGGGTTTTCATATGTTTTGGAATGAGGAATGGGGAGAAAATGGAGAAGCCTTTTGGCCTAAACAATTGGACTGCTAGCTGGGATGGGGAAGATTGTAGGTGGAGGAGGTTTGAGGGGGACATGAGGCATTCGGTTTAAGTTGGAGATGTTAGACATCCAGGTGGGGATGTGCAGGGGTGGATGCATGTCTATAAGAGTCTGGTGTGTGGGGAAGAGGTCTGGACTAGAGATGTGAATTTGGGGCTTATCCGCAACTAACTGGTATTTAAAGCCTTGAGACTGAGAGGAGATGACCGGAAGTCCAAGTGCTGAGCCTTGGTCTCCACCTGTAAGAACTGCCCCCTTTTCTGCAGCCTTGGCGTTAGGCTGACCTCTCCATGGAGATGGTGGCAGGTGGCTGCGAGCTCGCCTTTCTTAGAGCTCGCCTCATATATTTCTCTTTCCACAGGCCAAAGCTGTCTTGAAATTCATTGAGGGGATCTCAGAGAAGACCCTGAGGAGTACAGTGGCGCTCACAGCCGCCCGAGGAAGGGGAAAGTCCGCAGCCCTAGGCTTGGCCATTGCTGGGGCAGTGGCTTTTGGGTAAGGGCATCCGGTTCCCCATCTTCAGGAACTCTGGGCTCTTAGGAGCAGTGTGCAGGATTAGGGGTCACGACTGGGACACTGTTCCTGGGTGTGAGCCAGCTCCTGTGTGACTCTTCTAGGTCTTGGGTTCCTGTCTAGAAACAGCAACACTGTGTCCCCCAACCCCCCAGATGTGCACATGTCTGTGTGTAGCACACACGGACACACACACTGGGGCCTTTGTGAGCACTGAAGTTGAATAAACACACAAAAGCAGAGAAATGGGGGAAGGAACTTTTAAACTCTCAGGAGATGAGCATGTGTGAGACCAGCTCTGCAGGCTGAGGAGGGTACATGTTTGACATTTGAATGATGTGGTCAGTAGAAGATCGTGTTTGCTTCCCAGGAGCTGCCTTTGGGTGTGGTGCTACTTTCCATTGTTTTGCCCTGGGCGGAAGATTTAGGCAATGACCAGTAGAGCGTGTGCTTCCAGCTTCACAGACATCGATAGTGGGCCCAGAATTGACCACGTTCCCCTGTGTGCATTGTGTCCCTGGGTGCTTCTGATAGCTCCATGAGCATGGTTAACGGATAAACCTTGGCTCAGGGAGGTTCAGGGACCCACCCAGGATCCCCCAGCAAGTCAGGGCCTGAAGCGCTGGGCTGAGCCAGCTCCTGACTCCTCGTCCTTTGTTCTTCCTGCTGCTTCAGCGGTTCCCCTGGGGCCTTGAGCCATCAGCATCCTTTACACTCAGCAAGGGTCCCTTGGAGGTTCCCTGCAGCCTTGGCCTGAGCACCGATTAGCTCCCCAGCTTCCCAGTTTGACCCCTCTCAGCATGGCTGGTGACAGGTTTCCCGGACACAGGGTCAGGAGCAGTGTGCCGGTTCTGCTGAGGGGTTGTCCCCGCGGCGTCTCGGCCATGCGCTTTCTCCGTGTGGCCTGACTGCCAGGACACGCTGCCTTCACGTTGATGACGTGTCTGCCTTAGTTTGGGATGAAAAATATCCTCAGGTCTGGAGTCGCTTTACTTTTCCTCCCAAAAAGTATCCTGACTTCCTGCTATTATCTCTAGTTATCACCTATGCAACGGGCAAACAAAAACGCTTTCTTTTTTCTTAGGTTCCTTAAACATACCTTAGATTTCCTAATTACTTAAAAAATTACTTAAAAATCTTCCTCTTCTTTTGTTCAACAGGTACTCCAATATCTTTGTTACCTCCCCAAGCCCTGATAACCTCCACACTCTGTTTGAATTTGTATTTAAAGGATTTGATGCTCTGCAGTATCAGGTGAGAAATTAGGATAAGAATTTATTTGATTCAATGCTGGGTTTAGATCCAGGCAGAGTCTTTAGAATGCAACCTTACTTTCTGAATATTTAGTTTCTAAAGCTTGTTTCTAAACTTTGTCATTGGTTTGACTCTTTCCCCTCAGGAGCATCTGGACTATGAGATTATTCAGTCTCTAAATCCTGAATTTAACAAAGCCGTGATCAGAGTGAACGTATTCCGAGAGCACAGGCAGACCATCCAGGTGAGCCTCGTTCTGAACCCTGTGTGTGGGGCCATGTCCCGCTGTGTGTGAATGGCTCTAAGATGTTGTCTTTTGTAGTCATTTTACGTCCTGTCAAATTGCATGTCGTTTAGACGTTGCTGCTGGTTTATGATAAACCTGTTACAGATTTTCAGCCTCTTCTGAAGAAAAACACTCAAGTAAACTATCAAATGTATGTAGCCAGATTGGAAAGTTGTAGTTTTTGTCCCTTGAAAATTCAGTAAGTGGGTTTGTGAGTATGCTAATTGGCTAAAAGAAATATAATCATTGTTCTGACATCAGTTCTAATTTTGCTTAGTTACAGCAGGTTTTGAAATGGTTCATCTGTAACTAGGACAATAACTTCACGATTTAAAAGAAAAAAAGAACTTTGCAAAATGTACTCTGAATCTTTGCGGTTTAGCCAGTGGCCTGTTTTCCCTTTTGAACAGTGTTTTCTCTGAAAGCTCTGTAAATGTCCAGTGCTCTGTAAGCCTGAGTGGTCTGCACCTGTCCACAGGCTGCAGTGTTGTTAAATCATAGAGAAGCATCGGGGTGACAGGCTTGCAGAAGGACGGAGACCCACAGGCTCCTAGTACAGTAGGTTCATGGATTATTTGTGGAGTTGGGTTGGGGGAGAAGTGGGCCAGGTATGGGCAGTTTATGCCCTTGACTTTTATACCTGTCAAGGCAAGTGTATATGCCTGTCAGGGAGGGATAGCTTTCCTCAGAGGTCCAGGTTATAAATAATGGTCAGTGTTTATGCCTTTTACCTAAGGATCTCAACTTTTTTCTTACTAGGTCTCTTCCTAGAATCTCTTCATTCTGTACGTTTCTTCCCACTTTTGTCATATTCTTTCAGGTGAGAGGAGGCCAGACTGATGTTGGGGTGGGCTGGGGCGGGTGGCAGGCTGAAGGCAATGAGAGTACAGAGACCTGTTAAAACTCAAGAGAAATACACAAACCAAAGGAGAAAAGCCTTTCCCTAGAATGCCCGGCTGGCCCTTGCCGCCGCTTGGATTTGTAATCAGAGACCCTCTCAGTTTACCAGAGTCATTTTGTCTGCAGACTGGAGTTTCAGCACAGAAGAGGGGACCTGACTTTATGAGGCTCCATTTGTGTCCCTTTGAGGACTCTTCTTCCTTGCTGGAAATTGAAAAAAAGAAGAATATTAAAGTCTGCTCTGCCTCTCCAGGGGGCTGCTTTCTGCTGCTTTTATGAGGCACTTGTTTTGTTTTTCCCCTTAAGAGTCTAAGACCTGGGGCCCTACTGAGGAGGTGTGTCCTGCTGTTGGAAATGAGGGGTCGCTGTCTCCCTGACCCTGCAACTTCTAGCAAAGCAGTTAGAAAATCTTATTTGTAATGAAATACTTCAAATGTACAGGAAAGTGCAGAGACCAGTATAACACTCAGGGGACCATCACTCGGGCTTAAGAAATGTTGACATTTTGCTATTTGCTTTGTTTGTTTCATATTTTCAAAGTCATTTATAGTTTTGTTTTAAAGATCTAAAACATCACAGACACAGTTGAAGTCCCTCTTGTACCCTCCCGTCTGTTCCCTTCTATCATTCCCCATAGGTAACTCGACTCTGAGATTGGTATGTTTCCTTTCAGTTCATGTGTTTATGTTTCACTACATAATTATGTATCCATAAATGGTAATGTACTGTACTCATCATTTTTCAGGTTGCCTGTTTTTACTGAACATTTGTTTTTAAGATTTGTCCCGATTGAAGCCTGTAGATCTGGTTGATTCATGTTTAAGCACTATATGAGTATACCACAGTTTATTTATGTTTTTAGAAGTGGAATTGTTGGGTTTTAGGGTATGCGTAGATTTCCAGCTTTCTTGGATTTTGCCAAATTCTCCCTCAAAGTGTTTGCACAAATTTGCCTTCCTACCAGCACTTTTCTGAGTCTTTATTTCCCCAAGTCCTCACCAACACTGGCTGTTGTACAGCTCTTTAAGTTTGCCTGTCTGCATGTGAATGACATGGGGTCTCCTTGTTATCTTCAGCATTGCACTGATTACTGGTGAGGTTGAGAATCTTTGTTTTTTATGTTAATTGGCTATTCAGGTTTTCTATCCTGTAAAATCCCTTTCATGGGCCTTTTGCAAACTTTGAAAATAGCAGGAAGCCCTGAAGAACTGGGAGTTGTTTATACGCATAAGGATGCCAAGCTTATGGCAAGTTGGTGGCCAAGCTAATAATACCCATAAGGATGTATGAGTGTGTGTGTATATTAAGGAGGGAAGAAGTCTTAGAAGTGTCCCCACCAGTGCAGGGAGACTTCGCTTTATGAGGACAGTATCAAAGCAGGGGGCACAGTAGCAGCGTGTGGGAGATGCTGGAGAAACCTGACGTCCTCCCGTTAGCCACCGCTGGGACCCAGCTTGCCTTGGGCTCACTGGCCAGAGTGAGGCTGGGAGAAGCAGGAGAAGACAGACAAGAGAGTGGAGAGGCAGGCACCATCTGTCAGCACTGGGCCAGGGACCAGGCAAGGCGTTCCTACAGTTACCTGATTTTCTTCTCAACCAACCATCAGATAGGTGTTTCCTCCATTTTCCGGCAGAGGAATCGGAGGCTCCGTGAGATAAGTGACCCATCCAGGGTCATAACAATTGGTAGTGGAACTGTTTGAACCCAGGTGTCTGACTCCATGCTCATTCCATTTTGCCCTGCCAAGGAAAAGTGGAAAGAAGAATGAGAGAAAGAAGAAATGGGAAGGGCAGAGAGAGGAAAGAGAGCAGCCTTGGTGGTGCCTCACCAGTGGCGTTAATCATAATATAAGCTAATAATGTAAATTTTTCTTTCCCGCAGTATATACACCCTGCGGATGCTGTGAAGCTGGGCCAGGCTGAACTGGTTGTGATTGATGAAGCTGCCGCCATCCCCCTGCCCCTGGTGAAGAGCCTCCTGGGCCCCTACCTTGTTTTCATGGCATCCACCATCAATGGGTAAGGCACCTGGGGGAGAGTTGTTGTCCCACTGTAGGGGACAACGTCTTGCTGATTAGGTGGCACATAACGTCTGTGTCCTGGGCCTGGGCAGGTATGTCTCATTCCCAGAGTCGGAGTCTTTGGGCTGCTTCAATCTCTCCTGGGGCTCCTGTAAACAGGAGCTGGCCTCTTAAAAATCAACTGTAACTCACTTCTGGTCTGACATTAAGTGGGCAGCACAAGACTGAAGAAATTCATAACCCAGGTGACGTCTGTCTCCTGTCTGTAGGCCTGATCAAGTTTTAGAGAGTACATGGATGGCAATACTAATGGTTGATATCTGAGAATTATGTGAAAATATAGATTAAAATAACTGTATAATTAGCATAAGAAAGTAGGCTTATAGTGACTCAAGAGGTTTTTAAAAATTTTTTTTTTGCTTGAGGAAGATTTGCCCTGAGCTAATATCTGTTGCCAATCCTCCTCTTTTTGCTTGAGGAAGATCAGCCCTGGGCTGACATCTGTGCCAGTCTTCCTCTATTTTGTATGTGGGTTGCTGCCACAGCATGGCTTGACGAGTGGTGTGGGTCTGCGCCCGGGATCTGAACCCATGAACCTGGGCTACTGAAGTGAAGCACGCCAGACTTAACCACTATGCCATGGGGCCAGCCCTTAAAATTTTGAAATCCGGCATACCTTGGAGATGTTGCAGGTTTGGCCATATCCTGGGGAGCAGTAGGGGGTGTGTCGGCAGGGTGAGGAGGTAGCACTCTGTCCCTCCTAGAAAGTGGGTTTAGGAGCTGTGCCTGATTCCTTTGCTTTTGCTCCTAGCTACGAGGGCACTGGCCGGTCCCTGTCCCTCAAGCTAATTCAGCAGCTCCGTCAGCAGAGTGCCCAGAGCCAGATCAGCACCACGGCTGAGAATAAGACCACGACCACAGCTAGACTGGCATCAGGTACCCCTGGAGCTGCGATTGGGGCCTGCAGTGCACAGCCAGTCTCCTCAGACTCACTGGCTCCTTCCCCTTGTGACACCATGGGCAGTACCATACCTTCCTCCCGTCAGGCAGAGAGGCTGAGTCCCTGGGAGGTGAAGCTGCTTTTGTTCGAGGAACAGCAAGGCAGTGACCAGATGGGAGCCTGATTTGGGCCTTCTGGGCTAGGCCCTTGTTTGTCACCATCTCCGGCTATTGTTGCATTGATGTAGTGAGGTCCCTTTGGGTTGGTGTCATGGCAAGCTGGACATTCACCAGAACAATTTTTTTTATTTTTTTAATTTTTGGTGAGGAAGATTGGCCCTGAGCTAACATCTATTGCCAATCCTCCTCTTCTTGCCTGAGGAAGATTGTCCCTGAGCTAACATCTGTGCCCATCTTCCTCTATCTTGTATATGGGACGCCACCACACCGGGGCTTGATGAGTGATATGTAGGTCCACACCTGGGATCTGAACCTGCGAACCCTGGGCTGCAGAAGCGGAGTGTGTGAACTTAACCATTATGCCACCAGGCTGGCCCCTATACCAGAACAATTTAAAACCACTCATTTTAAAGTCTCGAGCCGTGTTTCTAGGGGCACCATGTGGCAAAGATAAAGTAGAATGTTTGCCTTGCTCTTTCAGACAAAACGTGTGTAATCATTGTTTCTCGTGGTGTGTGTGTGTTGTGGGGGACAGCGCGAACGCTGCACGAGGTCTCCCTGCAGGAGTCCATCCGATACGCCCCTGGGGATGCAGTGGAGAAGTGGCTGAACGACTTGCTGTGCCTGGATTGCCTCAACATTACTCGGATCGTCTCAGGCTGCCCCTTACCTGAAGCCTGTGAGCTGTATCCTCCTGGATGTCGTTTGCCCTGTGAGAGGGAGGGGGTCGATGAAAGAATTGCACACAAGGATTTGGCCCTTTGTTTCACAGGCTCTGCTCTAGGGAGAGGGGCAGGTCGAACATTCTCGATCTCCCTTCTCTTCCTTCCCTCATGTGTTTCTGCTTAGGACATGGCCCTTCTTCCCACGCTGAGGGAAATCCACATAGCTAGGTGACCCTGGGAAGTAGGATGTCCTGTTGGAGGCTCTCTTTGATTTATTTTGGTTGCTTAACTCCAGACCCAGCTACTATGTTAATAGAGATACGCTCTTTTGCTACCACAAGGCCTCTGAAGTTTTCCTCCAAAGGCTTATGGCCCTCTATGTGGCTTCTCACTACAAGGTAACTGCAACCAGCCCGTGGTGAACTTCAGCAGTGCGCTTTAGCACCTGGCCGTCGGCTTTAACTTGGGATTTCACATCTTATATGACCCAGTGCCTCGGGTGCCCATTCCACTGGGACTTGAATGTCCTGAGGTTGGCAGGGTCTGCTGGTCTTGCTGGACGGGTTGCGTTTCCCACTGTTGCTCAGGCTCGTCTTGGGCTTCTAGCTCTGCATGCAGAGTGTGGAGTTCCTGCACGTAGCTCCATGCGTAGTATCTGGAGAGAGTGGAAAGCTTGGCCCAGTTTAAAAGGGGACTCCTGCTTCTCGCTTGTCTGCTGACCTGATGGGCTGAGAGGACACAGTAGTTGTAACCAGCTGGTGCTGTCTGAGACTAGCCTCATGCCTCAGGGCTATTTTTAAGGAGTAGTGAATGAGAGTTCAGAATATTTGAAAGTCTTAAAAACTAAAGGGTACAATGGAAAGGACACTTTTTGAGTGTCTAGGTAGCATTTTTATGAACACCCTTTAGTGGAAGGCTGAAGAGTTGGTGTTAGAAGTGGTGACAGGTTTTCTTGAAATTGCAGCTTCTTGTCAGGAGACAGTTCACTTCCCAGCTGTGAAATGCGTAGTGCTAACTAAGCAGTTCTCTGCCCCGCACTCAGGGTGAGGTGACAGCAGACGGTTGAGGCTAAGTCCCTTGTAAGCTGTTACCAAGAGTCTTGGGCTAGCTGGTACTAGGAGGGCGCCGTGCTGGCTCCAGCCCATCGCTTGGTTTTGGGGGAGGTGATACGCTGGTCATCTGATGACTGCAGAGTGGCCTCTTGAGTGAGGAACAGAAGAGGAGTGCTCGCTGACCTGTGTTTGTGCCTCACAGAACTCTCCCAACGACCTCCAGATGCTCTCTGATGCACCTGCTCACCACCTCTTCTGCCTTCTGCCTCCCGTGCCCCCCACCCAGAATGCCCTTCCTGAAGTGCTGGCTGTCATCCAGGTACAGAAGCAGAGGCGTCCTTGTGGCACTGATTTGGGGAACCACTTAGGCATCAGGGATTAATGGCTCAGTAACTGCAGTGTGGGGGAGGGGTGGCTGTTGATTCTGGGTCTAGTGCAAGATGGCTGGGTGTATCGAGTGTATCAAGGCAGGCGATGAGGGGGCATCGAAGAAAGCACCACTGACGGCAACCGAAAGCCCTGCTGTGCGTGGGCAGGTGCAAGTCAGAACTGGCCACTTGTATTTTGACTCATAGCTCCTCCTAAAGCAGAACCTGTTTTTGGTCCTTCTTGATTACAAAAGCAATACGTGGTATTTGTAACATTGGAAGACACAGATTGGAAAAAATAATGTTTTAATACCTGGCATGTATTTATGCATTTCTGTGTTTTTCCATTTCATAAACGTGGGATCATAGTGTGTGGTAATCTGCTTCTTTATTTTGCAGTGTGTCAAATATTCATAATCTGCATAATTTTTAAAGGCTGCATTGTATTTCATTATGTGCACGTACCGTACTGTGTGTAACCATTCTCCTGTTAGACAGACACCTAAGTCATTGTGAATTTGTACTGTTCTGTACAGAGCCGCATGAGCACCCTGTGTCTTAACTGACGTGCACACATGCCCACCACGCGTGGAAACCCTCTTCTGATGTGCTTTTTGCCCTTTGAGCCAGGAGGATGTCAGTATACTGCCTCGTTAGTGACAGTGTGAGGGTGCTCACGGGGCATCGTAATGAAACTTCCACTGGAAATGGATGGTCGGTTACAGGCTGCAGGCTGAACTGCAGTGAATCAGCTGGCCTTGGGAGAGGCAGCAGAACGCGGACGATGTTCTGTGAGTGCGCCCTGTCCCTGGAGCCGGCTCTCCTGTCTGCCCTGCCCTGCTTCCCCCACAGGTGTGCCTCGAGGGGGAGATTGCGCGCCAGTCCATCCTGAACAGCCTGTCTCGAGGCAGGAAGGCTTCGGGGGACCTGATTCCATGGACAGTGTCAGAACAGGTGATGCGCTTCCTTGGGATGTCTGGGTGAGGGAAGCTGGCAGTGTCGCAGGAGGGTTTTATTGCTAAGTTACTGGCTTGTGTCTCCCACACAGTTCCAAGATCCGGACTTCGGCGGCCTTTCAGGGGGAAGGGTTGTTCGCATTGCTGTTCACCCGGATTATCAAGGGGTAACGTGTCCTTGTGCCTCTCAAACCTGGTGTGCTGCTGTTAGCTGCAGCCGTGCTGCTGGCAGCTCGTGAGGGCAGATGTACTTGGTTGTTTGAATAGGAATCTGGTCAAGGAGTAAGCAGTTCCAGGTCCTCCTCTGCTATGGACAGTTGGCCTGGGGCTGGGGGTAGGGGGGTGGACAGCATGATCCTGTATGCTGGCTCTTCCGTTGTGAGGACAGGGGAGTTGTGAACCAGGTCTACTTGGCACAGTCACCTCCCGTCTCTTAGACATCCCCACTGAGGACTGAGCTGTAGAGATGTCAGTGTTGGGCTTGCTGATCTATGGACCAGCAGGCACGGCCACCCATCCTCACGCTCCAGTGGCAGATGGGCTGTCCTTGATGGGCTCGACAGTGCCAGAGCAAGGGTCATACTATGCTCAGTCTTAGGGTCTCTGCTTTGACTCCTTGAGGGATTTCATTGGTTTTCTTTGCCAAGCACAGTTTGACTCAGAGTGAAGGCTTTCTAGAAGCAGTGCAGGACGTAGAAGTGGTTCACACTGACTAGGAACAACTCCCTTCCCTCTGCCTGTTTCCCTCCGTGTCTGCTCACAGATGGGCTATGGCAGCCGAGCTCTGCAGCTGCTGCAGATGTACTACGAGGGCAGGTTCCCTTGTCTGGAGGAAAAGGTCCTTGACACGTCACAAGAAATTCACACTGTCAGCAGCGAGGTAAGCATTTTTTGGCCAAATAGATAACTCTGGGTCTCAGGAGCATCGTCAAGAGCTGTCTGGTGGTCTGGGCTCTCTGAGCAGTAGGGGATTTCCTCTCTCATTTTGGAGTAGCTGCTGCTTTGGCTAACACTTAAGGCTGAGAACCTCAGATCAGCATCATCAGCATTTGGAAACTTGTTAAAAATGCCAGTTCGTGAACCCTGCCATAGACCTCCCGAGTCAGAAGCTCTGGGGTGGGACCAGAACTTTGTCTTAATAAGTTCCCAGCTAAAAACCACCGCTCTACAGTCTCCTCCTCTTAGTACTAAACCCAGACTGAAGAAAGGTCTGTCCTTCTTGGTAAGAATGATTAATGCTAGGAACTGTGACGGCTTTTCACACACATTCATTTGATTTTCGCAGCGTATCTGTTCAGGGAGTGGGGAAGGGGCTTATACTCAGGGCCAGGCTCACAGGTTTGTCCCTCCCCAGTCACAGAGCCATCTGGTGACGGGCCTGGATCTTCAGCCCCCATCGCCAGGCTGTCTCTCAGTAAATCCGTCAGGCATTTCTAAACTTTGGGGCTGTTTTCCTGCTCTCTGGGTTCCGAGCAGTGATTCCACACGTCCAGGGGTTTGGTATGCTTGGGAGTGACCACTGGATTTAGTGGTGTTCCTGTATTTTAAAAGCCACAGGAACAAATCAAGAAACGTGTCCAGTTTTTCTTGTGTTCAGTCCAGAGCCCGGTGTGGCATGGGTGCTTGGGAATGTCACTGACCTCCCTCTGCCGGGGGCCTGTTCTCTTCTGCAGGCCGTCAGCTTGTTGGAAGAGGTCGTCACTCCCCGGAAGGACCTGCCTCCCTTACTCCTCAAACTGAACGAGAGGCCGGCTGAGCACCTGGATTACCTGGGTGTGTCCTATGGCTTGACCCCCAGGCTCCTCAAGTAAGGGTTTGCCTCCCCTGCATCACCCCCTTGGCCTTGTGTCCTGTGTCCTGAACGTGAGAGTCTGTGAGCCATGTGTCTGCCATCTGTGGACTACCTGCTCCCCTGGCCCTTCCCGTCTGTATCTGTCACCACTCCCAGAAGGCACTCACAATGACCTGCTCTCTTTGTATCTTTGCAGGTTCTGGAAGCGAGCTGGGTTTGTTCCTGTTTATCTGAGACAGACCCCGGTGAGTGAGGCATCTGGCAGAGGAGGGGTATGGGTTTGCAGTTCTGGTTGGTGGCAGGTCTGTCCTTGCACAGAGCCCAGGTGCCTCCTGCTGTGCTCTCAGCAGGTGTGCCTGTTCTCCAGGAGGTTTGTTCTGCTGGACTCAGAACAGCCGTCCTCGCTGAGTGGCCCCATGGTCACCATTCATTCCCCCACCATGCAGTGCACGCCTGGTGCGCACCTGGCTCTGTGCTTAATCATAAAATGGCAGAGGTGCACACAAACTTGTTTATCAGACGCTAGAATCCTGTACCCTGGGGGCCTCCTTGAATTTGTGAAAAAAAAAAAAGAAAGTGGTTTTCAGGAGAGGAGTGCAGTTGGGCAGACTCGTGTTCTAAGTTGGTATCTGAAGGAGGGCTGTAAGTGTGGTGACAGAGCCACACACTGAGGATTACTGGGGAAGGGGAGAGTTAGTGACCGTCAGTTCATTAGAAGAAACATTGAGCACCTACAGGGTATCAGGCAGTGAGCAGGATAAGCCACAGAGCTTATTTTCCGATGGGTAGAAATGGGCAGCAGGAAGGTGGACAGAAGAGAAATGTTCAGATAGAGATGATAGCATAGTGAGCGGTCAGGCTTCTGGGGAGTGGCCTTTCCAGCTGAGCCCCAGGGCTCAGAGTGGACCAGTGTGTGAGGGTCCTGGAGAAGAGAGTGTTTCCAGGCAGAGGGCACAGCAGGCGTAAGGGCCGAGGTGGAAATGAACTCGGCTATTTGAAGGAAACCAAAGGCAGCCAGTGTGGCCGGAGAGTCCTTAAAAGGAAAGGGGAGCGTTCACGGTGGGGCAGTTAGGTCTGGTAAGGACTCTGCATTTTCCTCCCGTTCAGTTGGAGGGAGGGATCAGAGGAAGGGTGCTGTGGCTGCTGTGTAGACGGGATGGCAGTGGCCCAAGGGTAGAGGCAGGGAGACGAGGGCTGGGAGAGGCGGTGGTTTGGTCTGGGGTGGAAGTGGTGAAAGTGTAGAGAAGGGGTCAGACGTGAGGTGTTCTGGAAGTCGATCTGCCTGGAATTGAAGGATTAGGTGTGGAAGATGAGTGAACAGAAGGATCAAGGACAATTCTTAGATTTTCCGCTTGAGAGACTGGGTGTTGGCAGTGCTGTTTGCTGAGATAAGACCTGGTGGGGGAGGAAAAACCCAGAGGTTTGGAGGTAAAAGTGGGAATTTTTTTGGCATGATAAGTGTGAGATACCCCTGCCACCCAGTGGACATGTGGATAGGCAGCGACGCGGGAGTCTGGAGTGCAGGAGGAGGTTGGGGTTGGAGATGGAGGTGTGGGAGTCATCAGCATATTCCTCAGAGGATATACCCCTGGGGTCAAGGAGCTCTTTGTTTTCTTCACAGCTGTAACCCAGCACTTCATAGCATCTACTGTGTATAGTATGTGTGCAGTGAATGAATGACTATTTAAAGCTATTCAAAGTAGGGACTGAAGTCACAGAGAGGAGGGTGAGTCTTGGAGTCTGAGGCGTTTAGGGGAATGAGTTGGAAGAGGGCAAGGGAGACTGAGGAGTGGCCTTGATCTGTAGGAGGAAGTTGGGGGTGTGGTGTCAGAAGCCAAGACTAACAAGGGTTTCAAGAAGGGGAGTCAGTTGTTGTGAGAGAACAGGTAAGATGAGGACAAACAGTGACCAGTGGACTTGTCAGTGCCGGTGATCTGAATGAGAGTAGCTTCAGTGGAGTGGAGGGGGCCCCCTGACTGGAGAGAAGGAGGGAATAGACAGTTCGTACAGGAAGCAGAAAGCTGGAGGGAGACTGGAGTGAAGGCGGGTTTGTCAGATGGGAGATTCTAGAACATGTTTGTTAGCTGCGGGGTATGATCCTGTAGAGATCATGCAAGTAATAGTAGAGGTGAGGGGGCCGATCGCAGGAGTGCAGGCCTTGAGGAGGCGAGGGGCAGGACCCGGAGTGCAGGAGGAGGGGTGGCCGCCTCACCCCACACAGCAGGAGGGAAGGCACAGAGCGTGGGCACGGAAGGTGTCGGCAGCTGGTTGCGTTGGTGTTGGGAGGGTGGAGAGGTGCTCTTCTGATCGCTTCTGTTTTTCCAGAGAGGAGAGGTCATGAGCTGAGCGGGGGGAGTGTTGGAGGTGGGATTTTGGAGCGCACAAAGCCAACGTCCAGTTGTGGGTCGCGCCCATGTGCGAGTGTGCAGTGGGACTGGTGAAGACCGTCCGGTGCTCGGCTGCTGCCCTGAGGGCATGGAGCGGCTCCTCGGTGGACTGGTCCTCGTCGCTGGCTCTGACTGGGGCTGGGGTGTAATGTGGTGGTCAGCTGCAAGAAGAGCACAGGCCATCGAGCTCCGTGTGGACCACCATGTGTCCCTGTGTCTTGTGCTGTGCACTGCTTAGTTGTGACTTGGTGCTGGCATTTCGTTACATGGATGCTCTCCGGTTGAAATCTATTAGGTATTTTTATGGTGTGGGGCTTTGTGGTTGTTATGGAGTCAAAATTAAAAACCTGTGGTCACAGTTTTAGTGTCTACAGAGCCTGCACTTGCACACTGGTTGCCAGCATGGCCTCTAGGTTTCGACCGTGGAGGTTTTGCTCTAAGGCACCAACAACCTGTTGATTGGATCACCTGGAGCCTAACGTGTCCTGAGTCTGCGTTCAGAATCGGACCTGTCGCGAGCACGTGGCTCAGAGCAGAAGGGGGCCGGAGCAGAAGGCGTGCTCCGAAGACCTGAGCAGCTCTGCTCCTTGGTGTGGCACCTGCTAGGAACTGGCTGGACACCGTGGTCTTGGAAAGCTGTGGTGTAGATGCCCGCGTGGGCATCTCTTGCGGCGGGGGGACAGGAGAGGCCCGCGGAAGCACTGAGTCTCTCCTCTCTGTGTGCTCGCCCTTTAGCAGTGACGGATCATTCAGAAAGGGGTTCTTGGTGCCACTTAGGGATTTGTCTTTCCCAGAATGACCTGACTGGAGAGCACTCATGCATCATGCTGAAGACGCTGGCTGATGAGGATGAGGCTGACCAGGGAGCCTGGCTTGTGGCCTTCTGGAAAGGTGAATCTGAGTGGAAGGGGCAGCGAGGTGATGGCGGGGGTCCAGACCTCTGACTTGGCGTGCTTGTGCCCACAGATTTCCGCAGGCGCTTCCTGGCCCTTCTGTCCTACCAGTTCAGCACCTTCTCCCCTCCCCTGGCGCTGAACATCCTTCAGAACAGGAACGTCGGGAAGCCCGTGCCGCCGGGTGAGCTGGGTGCAACGCTGGGAGAGCTGGGAGTGGCTGGGTGGTGTGGCAGCCTGGGGTGGGCATGATGGTCCAGGAGGAGGGCTCGACTGGGTGTTGAGGGCCGTTTTAGGCCCGCGTCTCCCACCACTGCCTCCTTCTCAGCAGGCCCTGCTTTGCCTCAGGGGCACCGTCACACACGGTACCGTCCATCTTTCTAACAAGGCTCTGGGCTGTGGTCTGACTTCAGAGATGTCAGATAAGGTCACACATACAGTTAATTATGGAATCCAGTGTAAATCTCGTGAGTTGGGGGAGCGAGCTCCATCTCTGAGGCTCAGTTTCCTCGTTCATGAAGTTGTAATAAGAATATGCTGCCAGGGCCGGCCCCGTGGCTTGGTGGTTAAGTGAGCGCGCTCCGCTGCTGGCGACCCGGGTTCGGATCCCGGGCTTCCACCGACGCACCGCTTCTCCGGCCATGCTGAGGCCGCGTCCCACATACAGCAACTGGAAGGATGTGCAGCTATGACACACAACTATCGACTGGGGCTTTGGGGGGAAAATATAAATAAATAAAATCTTTAAAAAAAAAAAAAAAAAAAAAAAAAGAATATGCTGCCAACCTTCTGTGGCCAACACACAGAAGTGCTTTGGGCCTATAAATTGAATATTTAAAGTACAAAAAGTGTGTATGGGATCATTAGTATTACCAGCTTTGGGGGTTTTTTTTCTGTTGCTAATTATGTGTGTGTGTATACTTTTTTTTGCCAATTATATTTTGATGGAAAAGTCTGTTCGTCGAACTGGGCAGAGCATACAGTGTCTGTGACTTGGGTCCTGAGGAGAAGTGACACAATGGGGAGAGAGTGTTGTGTTCCTCCATCCCTGGGGCACGGGGAGCCTCTCCTTGGTCGGATGTGTTGGGTGGCACTCTGAGCAAGGGTCACATGCTGACCAGCCCCTCCCTGCACGGCCCAGCGCTGCCCCCTCAGCAGGAGGAGGGTTGGAGCATTGACCAGGTCCAGCGCTGCCCGGGCAGCATGTTCTCCCGGAGGGCCGGCCCTTGCAGGTGGCTCCTCTCCTGCTCTGCTTGGCCGAAGGCCCTGAGGAGGAGCAGCTGTTAGGGTGCCCTCGGGGACCGTGTGTGTGCTGTTTGGGAATCCCATCAGACCTTGTGACCCGCCTGGCTCTGTCACACGTGCAGCCCTACGCCGGGAGGAGCTGGAAGCGCTCTTCCTCCCCTACGACCTGAAGAGGCTGGAGATGTACTCACGGAACATGGTCGACTATCACCTCATCATGGACTTGATCCCGGCCATCTCCCGGATGTACTTCCTGAGCCAGCTGGGGGACCTGGCCCTGTCCGCCGCCCAGTCGGTAGGTTACCATCTGACCGATGAAGACACCTAGGCTCTGAACTCTAGTCGTGCCCAGCGCACAGTGTGTACATGGAGGAGCCGCAGTCTGCACCCACGTTCTTCCCACTCGCCGCGTGGCCTGCATTCCTCCCCCAGCCTGGTAGGGTCCAGCAGCACCCTGAATTTTAATGTAGCTGTGAAGCAGGCGTTTGTCCAGTAATAAGTTAGTTTGGGGATTTCAGGAATAGGGAGCATTTCTTAGTGGTTTCTGTAACAGGATGAAGAGAAGATTCCAAAATAGACAGTGCCAGTTGATATTTTGTCCCAGAGAGCTGTGGTCAAAGAGCAGCTCTGATTCGCAGTGCCACCTGAATGGAGAAGGCCCGTCCTGGTGGCCGCTCCAGCAGGTTTTCCGTCCTCCAGGCTCTTCTCTTGGGGATTGGCCTCCAGCATAAGTCTGTGGACCAGCTGGAAAAGGAGATCGAGCTGCCCTCAGGCCAGCTGATGGGACTTTTCAACCGGATCATCCGCAAAGTGGTGAAGGTAACGTTGGCCCAGGGCAGAGTTTTGGTCTGTTTTGAATAATGTAACAAACCCGCTCCTTGCCCCAAGATGAATAGACGTAACATCTGGCCACGTTTGCTGCCGATCTTCATACATACACACCCCCCGAAGAAACGGGGGCTTCGGCTGCATCTGTGACGACCCCGTTCTCTCCAGAGGCAGCACCGTTAGGAAGGTGGTATCTGCCCAGTCGGTGCTTTCACACTCGGCCGGGAGCGCTTGTGTAGAGCCTGAGCCCGGCCGTGTAGAGTGTGCGCCAGACGACTCGGTGACGAGTGACTGGGTCCCTGCTGCGGCTTCATCGTGTGCTTCCTGGCTGTTGTCTCCTCTAGCTGTTTAGTGAAGTGCAGGAAAAGGCCATTGAGGAGCAGATGGTGGCAGTGAAGGATGTGGTGATGGAGCCCACGATGAAGACCCTGAGTGACGACCTGGTATGCTCCTGCCGAAGGCCTTGTGAACGCCACACGTGCGCCTTTCCCCTTTAGGAAGAGCCCTGCACCGACCAGCTCAGTGGTGCTGGTCTGGTGTGGGTGGGAGCGCCTCGAGTTCCCGGGGCTTCCCTGAGTGTCGCTGCCCGTGTCCCCTGCCCTGGATGTGCACGAGCGCGCACGGTCCTAGCCGTGTGCCTCCCACCGAGTGTGTGTGCGTTTGTGCCAGCAGCCCGGCAGCTGCTGCTGCACATGTCGTTAGACTCTCACGAGGCACATTTATGTGCCTCCTGGCTGTAGGGAGAGCTGCCTCTGATGGGGGGGCAGGTGAACGGATGGGGAGACGTCTGCGTGTCGTGGTGAGATTCCGCCCTCTCACCTTCTTCCATGCGTTGTTCACTGCTTGACTCTGACCTGCTCTGTCTGTGGGGCCTTGACCGCAGGATGAAGCAGCAAAGGAGTTCCAGGAGAGACACAAGAAGGAAGTGGGGAAGTTGAAGGACATGGACCTCTCTCAGTAAGCCCCCCGCCGCTCATGGGAAGCGAAGGCTCAGCCTTGGTTTCTAGGGCCCTCCATCTGTCTGCAGGTTTCTTCTAACCCACATCCTGGCCCTGGAAGCTGTGTTTCGTGGGATCGTTCTTAGAAGCACTAATAGCCCAAAACCTCCTAATTCACTTTTTGCATAATTTTGGAGGATCTGGTTTCCCCAGATCAGTTCTGCCACTTTGACTTTCAAATCGAGCTCCTGAGGTGCCTAGGGTTCCATGTCATGCCTCAGGTCCCTCAGGGCAGGGGGATGCTGATCGATGAGCATCCACTTCTAATGACCACTTCTCTAAGTTTGGCTTTTGCATGTGAATTTGTTTGAAGAAAGGATTCTACTGCCAACAAATAAGCCAACAAAACCCCTTGCTCTGGAACCCTCTGTGTACCAGGAATCCTAGTCCCCTTTGAGCTTCTGCCATGCTGGTATTGCCTGCCCCGTGGATTGGTGTGAAGAACAACTCCAGAATTCTTGGTCTCTGACCTGTTGTCCTCTTTGACGGGTTGCTGGCTCTTTGGTGATGGTGGTTGACATGTGAGGTGGAGGTGGCCGGGAGGTCCCTGGGCTGGGTGTCGAGCTTTGCCCTCCGCTTTGCAGTATCAGAACCTGGACTCCCCAGGACTGCTAGATCCCACAGGGCTGGGGCAAGCTGGGGCAGGGAGAGGCACAGTGCTGGGCTCATGGGCACGTGTCTGGAGGGAGGAGTAAGCAGGGAGGTTGGGGCGACAGGAGGCTTCTCTGGTGGGCGAAGGCGGGCAGCTGCCTTCTGTGCAGAACCGTCATGTCGCTGACCTTCCTGGCAGGCTGGTGACCCTCGTTGCTGTGGTGAGGTTTTGGTCCCGTGGAGCTCAGCTCCGCATCTCGGCCCTACTGCGTGCCTGCTGTCCTTCTCGCTGCTCAGCGGACGCTGACACGGCTCGGCCTGCCTTGCGTGGTGGGCTGTGTCTGATGATGTGGTCACTGTCTTATTTCCTTTTGTGGTCCTCTTCTTTCGAGCAGGCTTTGACATTTCCCTTCTGTTTTTTAGATACATAATCCGTGGGGACGATGAAGAGTGGAATGAAGCTTTGAATAAAGCCGGACAGAACGCCTCGATCGTCAGCCTGAAGAGGTGAGGGCCTAACGTTCCTGACGGGAGAGGCAGTCCAGCCTCTGCTTCTCTAGTAACTCTAACTAGGAAATAGGAGGTTGGAGCAGAAGCTCTGGGAGAACAGTCCCGGATCTTTCCTCTGCGGGTCACTAGTGTTGTGGCCTGTCTCCTGCAGGTCAGGCAGGGCCACTGTCGAGGCCTGGGTCTCAACATTGCTCACATTCACAGACGTGCCCGGGAGACGGGCTGTGGAGCTGCAGGGACTGAGCAGTTCCTGTGGGCCTGAGTGCAGTGTCCGAATACTCTCGGACAGAGGAGAGGGCTGTGCTGTTACCAGCAGTGCTTTCAAGATGGAGTAAGCACGGCTCAGGGTGTCAGGTAACTTCCTAGGAAGCACAGCTGGTAAGAGGCAGAGCCGGAATCAGGAACGCTTAGTCCACTGCAAAGCCCACGGTTTTACTGGCTCTCCTCCCCGCCCTCTCAGCCAGCAGTTCTCCAAGTTCTGGGTCTTCGAGTTCCTTTATGTCAGAAGGATTGTTGAGGCCCCTGGGGGGCTTTTGTTTATGGGGGTAATATCTGTTCATATCTCCTGTGTTAGAAGTTAAACCCTGAGAAGTTAAAAAACTATTTACTCATTCAGAATTAATAATCATGGACTCGATTATGGTTTTCTGTTTTTAAAAATATCCTTTTTTCATGAAAATCTTCGTGGGACCCATCAATGCCAGGAATCAGGTGTTCTCTTTTGCAGTCTCCGTACAGCACTGCAGTGTCGTGAAGCTTCCAGCATCGATGCCAGCCTCATTTTCCAGATGCTCCCTGCTGCGGGGCCAAAGCCCTGTCTGTGTCCTCATGTCTGGTTTGCAGGACGTGGCAGGTGTGGCACAGGGCGCATGATGGCTGTTGCCTTGAGCATGGCGGCTTTGACTGGAACAAAAGGCCAGGGGACGTGCTGGCTGTGGAGCCGGCCTGGTTCCACGCCGTGAGCTCGGCCTCTCCTTGGGCTCTCGCTGCTGGCGAGGGGCCTTGCAAGTTAACAGCCCAGGTGCTGGAGGGCTCTGTGAAATGTGCAAGTTTCTACTTTTGGAGGCAAAAACACTGATATCTATCATTACATATTGATGAGGCCATTTTTCTTCTTTCTGAGAGGTCACTTCTTTCAGGTGATTGTAATGGTCTCTGGACTGAGCTGTTCACTCTCATGGGGCAGGGTTTGTTCCCAGGGCAGAAGGCCATCAGAGAGCATCTTCAGCCTCTGGGGAAGGAAGGTGGCCATTTGCTGAGTGATTCCTGTGCTGCTGATCTGCCAGTAAGGAAGCCTCTGGCCAGCTGAAATGTGTAACCCGAGTTAGCACTCCGGGTCTTCTCGTTTAGGAAGAGTGAAACAGCGACAGCACATCAGCCAGTTCTGTGAGGTTTTCCTTAGAGTCTCATGCTGTGTATTAGGGACTGTGCTCAGGGTCATTGGGACGATGTGCCTGATTTCCAGGTCATCTGCGTGGTGAGAGTTGGGGGAGGAAGTCTTCCGTGTGTCACCTTACATTTTTCTTGAGGCCTTGGGAGGGGAGACATGCAGTGCAGTAACGCATCACGTCACAGCATTCGTCAGCAATGGACGGCATCTACAACAGTGGTGCCATCAGATGAGGACCGTGTAGTGTAGGTGTGCAGTGGGCTGCCCCATCTAGGTTGTGTAAGTTCACTCTGATGTTCACACAGCGATGAAGTCGCCTAATGACGCATTTCTAGGACATGTCCCCATCGTTAGCGACGTGCAACTGTCCTCGGAAGAGAACTCAGGTTTCAGGTTTGCTCCTCCACAGACTGCGAGCCTGGTTGGGGCAGGAACTAGGCTGCTGTGGTGTACCCCTGGCCCCCACAAGGCCTGGCCCTAACAGGCAGTGCAGAGGGGGTGTCGTGTCTGACTGGAGTTCTTCCACAGGCTTCCGGTGGTGGAGGCCCTTCTTCAGACAGAGCAAAGCAGCTGAAAGCCAAGCTGTCTGAAAGGTGCTACAGGTCTGTGCATGTTTTTCTCTTTTCTTCTCCTGTTTTCTTTCTCCAGCGACAAGAAAAGGAAGTCGGAAGCCAAACAAGAACCCAAACAGAACAAAAAGTTGAAGAAAAACAGAGATATGAAGAACAGAAAAGATGGGAAACGGCAGCGGAAGAAATAGGGAAGAGAGACTTGGACGCCAGCGCTGACTCGGAGGAGCTGCCCTGACCTCCCGCACTGCCTCTGGCTGGACGGACGGGGCGGTGGCCTGGACTCGAGAAGCAGCAAGAGCCCCATCCAACCTGGAAGCCGGCGGGAACTCCATCTCTGGGCCGAGCTCGGCTTAGGGCAAAGTCCCTTCCCAGTGGTCTGCTCAGACTCAGTGGTCGGGCAGCCCCCTGGCACTGCCGGGGCTCTGTCTCTGCCCCCAGTCCAGGCCTGCCTTTCCCATAAGTTCACGTTTTGCTTTGGGCCCAGCTTTTGTGGCTCCTTCCCATCCATGTAGAAGCCACGCTAACTCTTGTCCCTTCCTCAGGCGTTAAGGAGACAGCTTCACAGCTTTCTGGCGGTGCTCAGGGGGCCACTGGCGGAGCCTCTTGTCATGGACTCGTCCAGACAACCTGAGGCCTGGAGCAGGAGGAGCTCTGGCCCAGGCGGGCGTCTATGGCCAGCCACTGTTGTGTGCACTGGATCTGCACTGCAGTGTGCCATTCCACTCCTGGCTCCAGCGGGCCTGCTGCCCAGTGTCCCAGAAAAGCCTGAGCTCCTAATTTAGGAAGGATGTGACATCAGAGTCCCCCAAACCTGCTATTTCATCATTTGGGAAAAAATGTTGGGCAAGACCCTTTTGCTAGCAGGGCTGAGGGAGGGATGGAGAATCCATGTTTAATAAAGACCGTCCCAGAAAGACCAGCTGCCTGGGGCACTCACTGGCTCCACACAGGTGGATGCCGTGCCTCACCCTGTTTTCCTGGTGGATCTTGGCTGCAGGTGGACTGGAGGGCGTTGGAATCAAGGCCGAGAGTGGGCAATGTGACCAGGGCTTAGCGACCCAGGAGCCCGTGGGAGAAGAGGCCTGCACTGCCGTGCTCGCTGTGGTCATTCCGAGGGGCTTTGCGTAGCTTCTGGAAGCTAGCTGGCTGTGCCTCTTGCTCCTGGGCTCTTGTCAGGTCACTTGGTCCCTTCCATCTGTTGGGGACAGAAATGATGTGGTGGCGTCACACTTGGAACGTTTGTGTGATGGTATCTACTTTCTGGTCTCAAGTCCGATACCGTGTGGTTGAAACCTCGACCCTCAGGTCTTCTGGTTTCCTTATTCGATTGTCCCTTATTCACGTCCCCCGGTGCAAGAGAAGCTCCAGGCGCAAGTCAGCTCAGTCAGCTCTTGTTCTGATCTGCCTCTCTGCCACAGCGTGAGGTTGATGGCAGTCCTTCACAGCTTTTTCTTATCTTTATCTGTAAAATTCATGTGGTGGGTTGGTTACTGATCTTCCTTGGTCTTTCATAGGCTTTACAAGGAGTGGTCTTTCTGAGTCCACGTAGAACCATTCCTCCGCCCTGATAGGTAACCGAATTCCTAGGAGTTGAAGGCATGGACGGGGATGGAGAGGGTGGCTTCTGGACCAAGGAGGATGGAACATGCCACCCTGGGCCTCATTCCCCCCGGGAGGAGGGATTCTCCCGCCAGTGCTGGGATGGCTGCGCCTGGTTCTTCTGTCTCCTGGAGCTGCAGCTTCCTGCCCGCAGATCCCCTGTGAAGTCTGCAGGAAAGTTTGCTGAGAGAGATGAGTATCATTTCTGATCCTTTTCTCAGGTGAATGCCTGAGCCTGCCTTTCAAAGAGAGTGTTCTCAGTAGAGCGGCCAAAAAGCAAAGTCAGAATCCCAGATGGTCAGAGCTGGGTGATACCTTAAACCATCCAGACACGTCATCCCACAGGCGTGGGGCCCAGACTGATGGCGCCCTCGCCCTGCATCTCTAGCCCCAAAGCCTGTCCCCAGCTCTGCTCTGGGGTGCAGGGACAGGCGCTTCGAAGCCGGCCTGCCTGGCTTTGACCCTGGCTCTGCCCTGACCCGCAGTGTGACCTTGGGCACAGCACTCACCTCTACCCGCCGCCCAGGTCCACGTCTGTAAGGTGCAGTGTGATGACAGCACCTACCTCACAGGGCCGTTGTAGGAGGGAGCGGAGGAGCACATGAAGAGCTGAGAACAGGGCCTGGCGTACGGGAGTGGAAGTGCTCACAAGTGTACCGAGGGGAGCTGTACGTTCCCCGAGGCGCTGAGACTCACTGAGTCAGGACTGGCTTTGTTCTAAAGCTGCCGCCTGAGCTAGAAGAATCCCACTTGAGCAGCAAGGAGCGTGCACTCTGCAGTCAGGCCTGTCCGGCTCTACGCCCTCTGGAGCCTCTCCCTGACTTCCCAGACGGTCCCCTGTGCACGTGGAAAGGAAGCAAACATTTCGCCTACTGGGTACAGACCTGGCACTTTTATCTGCAAAGTGTGTGTTCCTAAACAGGTCCCTGCACTTGGTGGCTGTGATCTTGGGTTCTCCTCCAAACCTGAAAAAGCACACATCCCCCAGACCTTACCATCTGGCCCCCAGACAGAGTGACATCTGTAAAGCTTGGCTGTCGCAGGAAATGGCACTTGTGAAATGAATTCAGATAGGCTGGCTACGAATGCTGTCACCAGGACGGGGAAGGGCTGGAGAAACCAAACAAAGGATTCCTAAGGGGTCTCCATCCGCGCCCCCTCCCTGAGCTGGGGGTGCTGATGCTGGCTGCTCCAGGGCTTCCACTGCTCATCTGGCCCCTACGGTCCCTGGGGACAGTGACCGGGAGACCCACACAAAGGGGGCTGAGGAGGCTGGGGGAGGGGAGGAAATGTGACAGTCACCTTGGAAAAATGTAGACTCATTATCTGAGGCCATCACACCAGCCGCCAGGCCACAGGCCAGGAGGAGAGGGCGGGGCCGGCAGCCCCTGGGCCTGAGTAGGCTGCCCAGACCGCGGACGAGGGAGAAGGGGATGCTGAGTCCACACAGCTGGTTCAAGTGGAAAGGCCTGTGTGTGGATTCTGCGGCGGGGTGGGGTGGCGAGAAGGAAGGCTGAGGCTGTCTCACGTGCTGCAGGTGGATCTGCTGTGGAGAGAGCTGTGACCCGGCATGGGCCGGACTCTGTAAGGGGCAGAGAGCGGAAAGGGAAAGGAGCAGTCGGGAGGCGGCACGCAGGGCACAGGCCGCTGTGGAGGAGAGGAGGGTGGTCTGTTGGCTGTGCCCGGGCTCCCTCACACCTGGGGGCAACAAGGCCCAGGCTCCAGCTGCACAAGCGTGGCTCACCCTGCATGCGGGACAGCGGGCGGGGGATGACCCCGCCTGGGGCCCAGCAACCCTGCTAAGGAGGCGTGCACGTTCCTCTCCCCGGCCGGCCTCTGGAGCAGTGGCCTGAGGGGGAGGCCGGCCACCGGGTAAGGTGACCAAACACCCCATTTCCATGCTAGTCCCTCCAGCCCTTTGGGGGAATGTCTGGCTCTAATTATTATTTAAGTGCTTGCTTAAGAGGGTGTTCCTGCCACCTGCAGGCTCAAAAGGGCCCCATCCCTCCTTCATGTTGCCTTCCCTTTAACCTTGGGCCCCCTAAAGAGAGAAAATAGCTGACCCCTGTCTGGAGCCAGCTTGTAACTAACTCGATCTTGCCTTTTAGGCTGGATGCTTGACCGAGGCCCGTCCTGCAGGGGTCAGGGACGTGTGGGGAGGGTGGACACAGACCCTGAAGGGTGGCCACTGGCAATGGCGAGTGCTGGGGAGGGACGACCCTCTCACCTGCCCTTCCAGGGGCCTCTGCCCAGGACGAAGGTGCTGAGGGGAGTGCCTCCTCCCTGCACCCCCAGAGGGCGCCATGGGTCCACACAGGGCCTCTCCCCACGCAGCCTGGGCCCCACCCAGCAAAGCCGGCAATGGGCCTTTCCTGGGACTGACCCCAGGAGGTCATCCTGTCCCCCAACTCCTGGGTCCTGGCCTGTCGGTCACTAGACCACAGCCACTCAGGTCTGTTCCCAGGGACCTTAGACATTTCTCTTGCTGCCTCAGGCAGAAAACATTTCAAAAAACCTTTATTTCTGCCCGGACTTTGCACCTAAAACAAACTACAGCCGGTCCTGGAAAACCCTGGGGCCGGAGTCACCAGCTCACGATCCTGCCCCCATTAGCAGGTGGCACAGCCAGGGCCCAGCAGGTCTGGAGGCTGCCAAGGGGCAGGTACCCCCACATCAGGCTAGGCCGGGTGGAGAAGGCCCTGCTCCCTCCTTGCTGGGCCACAGGTTCGGATGGTGTAAGGGTTTGCGGACAACTATTAAGGCAACCCCAACAACTCCCACAGCAGGGCTGTGGGGGAGCCCAGGCTTGGGGAAGATCAGAGGAGCCCCTGACAGCCGCCTCATTCCTGTCATCGGGCCGTCCTGCCATGCAAACACCTTCTCTGTCCAGCTCAGAGGCACATAAGTGCTTAACAAGTGGGAACTCGTTTACATTATCAGAAGAGGGAGGTACTTGCTTCTGTCACGTGGGTGGCAAGGGTCGGGTCCAGGCTCAGGTCCTGGGCAAGGGGTGGCCCCAGTGCAGCTTTCAGCAGGGCCTCCTTTCCCTCTGAGAGACCAGGGAACCTGCCCTGGGCTCTCCTCCGGGTCCTACATGGGCTCCTCCCCAGCTCTCAACTCTGAACAACCCTCTGCCAGGAGCGACAAGGCCAAGGTCATTGTTAACAGGTGTTTATTGTTAATAAAGCCATGGTACATTTACAGTAAGTGACAACATTAATGTACAGTTACAGTATCATACAATATTACAGCAATAAAATAACGCCTATTCCTTTGTACATCCAGCTCACGCAGCTAGTTGAAAATATTTTCCAGGATTGCAAGCCCCCGGGGCTTCTCAGGGTGACCCAATGACACCTCCTGAAGTGCCCGGGGCTTCTGGTGAATAAATAGTTTCTAAGGTGCCCAGACAGCTGAAGAAGGCCACACCCAGAGAAGCTGTCCAAATGCCCCCCCAGTGTCTGGTCCATAAATACAGGAAGTGTGCAGGCCTGACACCGTCTCCACCGCAGGACAGCTGGGGGCCTACAGTGGGGGCAGGTGGGGGAGAGGAGGAAGCAGAAGGTCCTCTTCCCCCAGACCCCGCTTCCACCAGTGCCCCGGCCTCGAGATGCCCCAGACCTGCAGTTCCCACGGAGACACGGGCCGCTCTCCAGTCCAAGCTAAAGGACTCTTCCACTCAGGGACTCGGCCGGGGGACTTTTAGGGATCTGCTTCCTGAGCCCACTGAGGCAGCCGAATCTAGGCCTGGGGCTTCAGAATCGACCCCTAAAAACAGCAGCAACAACAAAAGCTGAGGCCACCCGGCTCCTCCACTGTATCCCACGCACCCCCATGCCCCCCCTTGGCTCAGACTGGAAGCCCTGGAGGCATCAGTGGGGGAACCGCTTTCCACTGCTCACCGAGCAGCTGGCCGTCCCCAGAGAAGGGCCTCTCTGGGCCAAACACCAAAGACAATGGGACTCCAAGTGACCCCTGTGCAGGTGTCCCCAGCCCCCTGGAGGCCCACATCAAGGCTTTCAAGGCATGGCCTTGAGGAGTAAGTTCAGGGGTTTGGGCAGCGGTTCTGATATGATAGTAAGAAAAGATACCGGCTTTTGGATGCGATGGCCTGGGGCTCGGAGTATCCATTCTGTACATTCATAAGGGTGCCACAGCCCGAGAGCCCCAGGTGGGACAGTCTGGGCTGAGTGGTGAGAGCTTGGAGGGCATGGTCAGAAGCTATTTAGAGCAGAGGTGAATCGGGATCAGCTGCCGCCCTCCAGGAGGGGTGCAGGGGCACCTGAGGGTGAGTACACCGCCCTCCAGGTGCAAACGGTGTGGGGGGTGGAGGGATAGTCCACCTTTTGGCCACATCTGCCCTTTGCCCATCACTGGTCGAGCAAACGGTTAGCTCTGAGGAAGAGGGGTTGAGGGTGGGGCTGCCCAGTGACAGGTGGGCTCAGGGCACATCTGCCTGCCCAAGGACAGATGGACACCAGAGAGGATGTCTGGGGAAAGAGGGGGAAACTGAGTCTCGTGAGCCTGGCTCCAAGAGAACCTGCACCCAGCGCCCCCAGCAGGGCCTTGGCCCGGCCACAGGGCCTGGCTACGCACTGGTCCAGACAGCCTGGCCGCACTTGCTCCCAGCCTTTTCCGCCCCCGGATGCCTGGAGACAGAGCCTGGCCGGGAGGGCGGGATGTGCCGACCAGCCATCCCCCCTCACACCCGGGATGTGATGTAGACAGAGTGCACGCGCTCGGCCAGGGTGCTCTGCAGGTCCTGCAGCGGGTCCAGGCCCTGCACCTTGCTGCTGCGGCCGTAGATGAGCTGCCGGAAGGAGTCCTGCTCGAGCAGGGCCTTCATGTGCTTCAGGAAGAAACCCTCGCAGAACAGGGCCAGCTCAGGGGCGTTGTGGATCTGCAGGTGCAGGGAGAGGGGAAGACCCACGGCCTGAGCACACCCCACCTGAAACTGGCCCCCATATCACCCATGGGCCGAGGCCCGGGGGAGGCACGCCATCTCTGCCTCTTGAGGCGACCTCCCCCTCATCTGCATTTCTCCCCTAAGCATCTCCTTCAAGTTGGACCAATCTGGGTTCAATCCCAGCTGTGCCACCAGGAACGTCACTGAAGCCTTGTTCTCGGCCCCACTGTTTTCTCTGCCTACGTCGTGCTGGTGACGGCTTGTGGAGTGGCAGGCATCCCCATGGGATTGGAAGATCCCTTACGAAGGGCAGGGACGGGGACTGGGCACTGCTGACGTCCAGCGTCTGGCACAAGGCCCAGCACATGAGCGTGCTCGTGGTGGATGCTCAATAACTATTTTAACTCAACAAATACCGAGTGCCCGTCTGGACCCGGCCCTGGGCGCCAGGTTCAGAGGTGCAGGTCTCTGCGATGCTCTCTTACAGCTGACGCTCTAGCTCGGGGAGAGGGAGAAGCCAAGGAACGACACAAGCAGGGTCACCTCAGACGGCAGTCAGTGCTGAGGAACAGGAGTGCTGACCTGGGGGAGGCCTGGGGAATCAGCCCGTCTTGTGAGGAGCTAGGGAGGAGGTTTCCAGAAGGGGGATGGTGATCACAACAGACCAGGGGTAGGAACGAGTTGAGAGACAAGCTGTGTGGCCCGGTGCAGAGAGAGGGAGGCAGCGGAGGGGAGCTGGAGGCAGGATCCTACGGGCCTCAGAGCGTGATACGGGGTTGGATTTTGTTTAGTCTGCAAGCAGTGGAAAACCTTCAGAGGGTTTAAGTAGAGGACTGCATGGTCTCAACACTTTTCAAAGAGCCTTATGGATGGCGGGGCGAAAGCCATGGGGTGGGGAGCCAGGCCAATGCAACAGTCCACCAGAGGGGACAGTGGAGGTGGAGGGGAGTGGAGAGACGGCTAATGTGCTTCAGAGGTGGATGGCCTGGACGTGGGAGATTTACAAAAGATCAACTGTAACTCCTGTTTTGAGTCTGAGCAACTGAGCAGAAGACCGAGCCGTCTGCTGAGATGGGGATGAGTAAGGAGAACAGGTTGGGAAGCAAGTCAAGTAAGCCTGTGGAACTGACTTGACTCAGAGGCTCAGCCACGTGCCCAGGTCCCACGGCCTGGCGTGGTACAGCTGGAACACGAACTGGGGTCCAGCTGGCTGGAAGCTGCATGCTGCCCCACTGGACAGAGACGGCCCCAGCCTACAGAGGCGTTACTAACTCCCCCAGCTCACGACACTGCTCCTCAAAAGCTGCCAGGCCACGGCGCCATGAGGCAGCTGAGACCTGGGTGGAGCCGAGCGCACAGGGGACGGCGGTGGGGCCTCACCTTGGCGTACTTGTAGGTGTTCACGGCACACTCTACGCTGAGCGTCTGGGAGCACAGGATCTCGCAGTGCCTCTGCAGGGCGTCCAGCTGGAACAAGCTGGCAGCTGACAGCAGCTGGTGGGGAGGCAAAGGCGGACTTGGGTACGCAGGCCAGGCCCCAGCCAGGCATCACGGAATAGGAAGCTGCCCCTCCCCCAGGGCCCCACCTATGTCCGCAGGTCAAGTCTGATGGCCTTGATTTATTTCTGGCTTGGCCATCGAGCTATTTGCTGGGACACCTTGGGAGGCACAGGATGGGTGACAGACGCTAGCTGGGATTTCTGACCTTGGGAGGTCTTTATCTATAAGCTACACGCTTCGTCTACATGACTTTCTAGCCAGGCGCCTGGCCAGCGGCAGGTCCGTTCTCTAAGCAGTGACAGGTGAGTGGGAGCCCAGGTGACTTCTGCAACCCCTGGGCCTCCCAGCCCCACTGGAGAGCCTTTCTAACCCCTGCGCCAGGCCCAGGAGGCTGGCTTAGTGGGCGCACAATGCCCATTCTCTCAGAAGGGCCCTTCCTGTCACCCGCAGGGAACCAGGAGGTCCTCGTGCAGGCCACGTTCCCCCCATCTCTCCAAATGCTATTTCTGAGAGCGGGGTTGAGACCCAGCAGATGTCTCAGGCTGGAGAGACAGGCACGGAGTGAAAGGGGAGACGTAGCCGCTGGGCCTGGCACATGGGCCCCCTGCTCCCCTCCCCGTGCCAGGCAAGAGCCTCACCTCCAGGACGTCGGCCGTGGGGATGTCCAAGGACTCCGTGCCTCCGTAGTACAGATACTGCATCATCAGCTGCAGCGGGAAGAGGCCCCGGGTGAGTGCCAATGGACCCGCAACGCCAGAGTCCTCGCCGGCCCCCGACCTCTCCAGGCAGCTGCCCCCCAACCCCCATTCCTCTGCACGTTGATCCCACAACTCTCGCTCAAGCTCAGACTCAAAGGTTTGGGTTTTCTCCGGAAAGCAACCTCTAGAAGTTAACCCCAAGATTCTCTCTCCCGACTTCCCACGTGGATGGCAAGTTCCTTCCACGGTGGGGTTTCACGTCCATCCTCATGACAGCCCCAGAGCCCAGGAGGGGAGGTACTGTTCTCTGCCGGGAAACTGAGGCCCAATGAGGGAAGCTGACGTGGCCTGAATCACTGGGGTCTCCTGACTGCCACACCAGAGCACTTCACTGTCATTTCTCCTTTTACCCACAGTATGAAGATGGGGCAGGGAGGACGACCTGAGGTAACAACAGTCCAACTGGCTACCCTCAGGACCCACCCTGGACTCTCCGTCTGTGCTAGGGCTCCAGCGTGGAGGTGAGGGCCAGATCCCAGCTCCCGCCTGGATTTGGTCCCTTGGAAAGAAAGCACAGAGCCGCGGGACCTGGCCCTGTGGTCACCTTGCTCACTGGCCCAGACCTGTCAGGGCCTCTGGGGAGCAGAGGGCCCTGCGATATCAGATAAGGTGGCCCAGGAGGAGGGTCTACATTCAGTTCTGCTGAGGTCAAAGTTACAAACTTTGCTATCACGCTAGGGGAAGCTCCCAACTGGAAAAAGAACAACAATTCTCCCTGGTTGGCTGAAGGAGTGGCCCCAGCAAGGAGCTGGCAAGTGTGTAAGTCAACACGGCTCCAGGGCACAGCTGGGCTGTCAGGCCCGGCCCAGGCTGGAGGAGGCACCAGAGGGTCTGGGGGCCCAACCTGGGGGTGGGGGGGGAAGATGGTCCAGAGCCGGTCCGGGAGACACCAGGCCCTCCCCACAGAGGAGAGGGCTCCACAAGCCTTCTGCAGCCCCTGCTGGAGCACGTACGGAGATCTTAGCAACCACATGTGTGCCCCTCTGTCCCTCCAAGTGGTGTGCACCTGGGAGGGCCTGCACCTGGGCTCCTTTGCCGTCCTCGTGCTGGGCGCTGAGTGGGTGCTAGGCCCAGCACCAGGAGTACAGCCAAGGATGATCAGGGCCAAGGCCCCTGGCCCAGGGCCGGGAGTGGAGCAGTGGGCAGGCGATATCTCCCAGGACTCTGCTAAGAGATGGCCTCAGGACAGCCCCTGGGCAAGAGAGGGCCCAGGATGTGGGCCAGGAGACAGGCGGCACCCTGTAGCCCCCTCCTGGCCAGGACGGCGGCCCCCTGCAGCATTTCTGGAGCTGGTTTTGGCAAGGCCCAGACATCTGTGGCCTGTGGCTCTCCCTGAGGTCACTTGAATACACACGAGTCAACAGAAGTCAGACCAGAAGTGCTGCCTTGGAGCCCTGCTGAGTGAGCTGTGTGGCTGGCAGGCAGAAGTAGATTAATTTTGCACAGCCTGACAGCCCCCAGGCAGGGCGTGGGTCATCTGACCCCACAGCAGGCAGCCCGAGAGGCTGGGTGGCGCTCCCAGGGTGGGGGTGGGGGGGGAGACGGGGGCAGGGGGTAAGGTTTGCTTCCACCCTGAGTAGGCCACCAGGACACTGTCGGGAAGCCACAGACACTGCAGGGAGAGGAGGGGGACAAAAGCCATGTCAGAATGGCAGGGCTTTCCCCCAAAGGCCCGGGTTTCGTCAGCAGTGACCCTGGCAAGTGTCGAGACGTGCGCTAACGCACCAGCCACTGGCCGCGTGTGGCTTGTGCGCACTGGAAACGTGCTGGTCTGAGCCGAGGTGTGCTGTGAGTGTCAAGCACACACTGGATTTCAAATCTTAGTATGAAAAGAAGAATACAATGTATTTCATTAATTTTTTTATATTGACCACATGTTGAAATGATAATATTTTGGTTACAGTGGCTTAAACATGTTATTAAAATTAATTTCACCCGTTTCTTTTTACTTTTTCACGTGGCTACTAGAACAGTTTAAATTACGTGTGTAGCTCCATTGTCTTGCTATTGGACGACGTTGCTTGGGTCTCCTTGGGCCTGTTTCCTCCTCCAGAAAACAGAGGTCATAACTGCACCCCCTCCCAGTGCTGAGCACCAGCGAGACACCTGGGGGCTGCTCTGAAACCTTCGGGCCCTATTAGGGAGCCCTGGCCCTGGGCCAGCAGCCTCAGGCTGACCCCTCCAAGGCGCCCAGAAGGCCGCAGCCAACGTCAGAGGCTCCATCTGAAGTGACGCGCCCCCTGACGGCACGGGCAAGGCCAGGGCCAACAACTCCCAGGCCCACGTGTGCCGTGGAGGCTGGTCTCCTGTCCCCGTTCAGCCTCCAGCAGCCCTGAGCAGTCGTGGAGGGGCTGCCAGGCTATTCCGGCACGGGGACCCTGCCCTGGGGAGCAAACGCGGCCTTGCTGGGCAGCTCCACAGCCCTGGTCACCCACGGCCACATGTGCCCTCACCACCCCTCGTCCAGTCCCTGCTGTCCCTCGAGGACTGCCTCCTGTGTCTGACCGTGACCCCACCTCATGCTCCAGTCACCTGGACTCTGGGCTTCTAGGTCAAACAAGTTTCTAGAACTGCCCCTCGCCCACCCCCCCCACCCCCCCACCCCCCAGCCAGTGAGTCTGGGTCGAGGGATGGTAAGGAAGAAAGGGGAGACACCCCCACTCTGTTGCCCCTGCCAGACCCTGGGCCTCACTCCCACCGCACTCCCAGTCAGAGTCCCATCCACTCTCCCCTCATCCACCTCCCTCCATCCCACTGCCACCACCTGGTCACCATCATAATCACCTGGATTTCTCAACAGCCTCCTAACTGGTCCCCCAGCTACAGTCCTGCCCCCTCCAACCCCTTCCTGCCCCCACCCCCCAACCCTGAGTGAGCTTTGTAAAGGCAAACTTGACCCTTCCACACATCCTAGGTCTGCATCCCGCCTCTATCACTTCCCAGCTGTGTGACCCTGGGCAAGTCACTCAACTTCCCTGTGCCTCTGACTCCTCATCTACCAAGAGGGGATGATGATACACCTATACCTCCCAGACCTGTGCTGTGAAGCTTCACTGAGGACAAAGGCACAGACTTGGCACCACGCTGGCTCAGCGCCAGTGGCAACAACGCCCGTTTAGCAGCTTAGACTCGCTTCTCGTTCTTCTGAATTGCTGCCCGGACTGGACCAGAGGGCTTGCTTGAACACGCCATGGTCTCGGGCTTGGGGGCTGCTCTGCTGTTCCCTCTGCCTGGAGCTCCTGACGACTGGCGAGCCGCCCTGGTCTCGAGACCCCCAGGAAGCTTCCCACCTCTCCTGCACTTCCCGCGCCTCCCCCACCACACCTACCACTGTTTCACAGTCCTGTCCCCTGGAGCGCAGGGTCCCCGTCCTGTGTCCCGCTCTTTCCACAGTTCACATAAATGACTACACGCTAAATAATGAACAAAGCGAGCATGGGAGAGACTAAGCCGTTCTAGACGGTGACTCCTGCGCTTCTGCGAGCCTCTGTGACCTCTCCCATGGGGTCACAGACCTGTCCTGTGCAGGGCCAGGTCCTGGGCCCACAAGCCAGCTGCTTCTTGGCCTCAGTCTCAGCCCCTAAGGGTCACCCTGGAGCCCCCCATGCGGCCCGGAGCTCCACAGTCGCCACTTCCCAGGAGGAGCTCTCAGTGGGGCTTGGCTGAGCTCCCGGCCCGTCTCCTCCAGGCCTTGCCTGCCACGACCGGCGGCCAGCCTAGGAAGTTTCCATTACACAACCTCTGATGTCCTCCAAAGCTTGGAGATCGCAAGACCTGCCCTTGATCTTCCACAACCAGGTCGGCTCACCGCGGCCTTTTCTGCTTGGCCGCCACGGCCAGGTCCGGTGCCGGGGGAGGCGCGGCCCCAGCAGTGCTGCTCAGACTGCGCGCACGCCTCCCACGGGGTCTCGCTGAGACGCAGGAGGCCTGGGGTGGGGCCTGCGGTTCTGCGTTGCCAACAGGGGCGCGGGCAGTGTCCATGCTGCAGGGCGCTCCCTCCGAGGAACGAGGGTGCACACACATGTGTGGCGCGTGCCTGTCCTTGTACGTCTGTGAGTCTGCCCAGACCCTTCGTCTAGGGGTTGGAGCTCAGAACCCGAGAGGCTCTGAAGCTGCAGCCCATGATGGAATGGCTGCTTTTCCCCGGGAAAAACCTGGACGCGCCAACCTGACCACTGACTCAGCAAAACACAGACGGCACTGGGGAGGGACCGGAAGGTGATGACGGACGCACAGCTGCCCCTGCGGCCCAGATGCACAGAGCCCAGGCCCCCGGGGGCACGTCCTGAGCAGCGGGCGGCCCTGAGATCCACACACCTGAAAAATGTGGTACTTCACGTCGCTGATCTCAATGGTTTTGCTGCTGTTGCCGTCTTGTTCTGATTTATTCGTCATCAGCGTCTTGAACCTGGAGCAAAGGAGATGGAACCAGGCGGGTCTCAAACATGACTCGACTCTATCACCGGGCTCCGAGGGCACCGTCACCGGATCCCTCCCCAGGAGACGCAGCATTGTACAAATTACTGCCGTGCTCCCCAAATAATTCTTGGCGAGTGTGCTTTACACCATCTGGGCTGACGGCTGGGCTGAGCCCCGTTCTGTCCTGGCTGCCCCCACGTGAGTGACCATGATGCCTGTGGCCGGACAACTGACTCCCCCTCCCAGAGTATTTGTTCTCTAACAATCAAAAGCAATTACTTGGGCCGGCCCTGTGGCTTAGCGGTTAAGTGCGCGCGCTCTGCTGCTGGCGGCCCGGGGTTCGGAACCCCGGGCGCGCACCACTTCTCCGGCCATGGTGGGGCCATGTCCCACATACAGCAACTAGAAAGATGTGCAGCTATGACATACAACTATCTACTGGGGCTTTGGGGGGAAAAAATAAATAAATAAAATCTTTAAA